TTGCTGTTTTTAGCATGTAAGTTTGGATGCATCTAACGAAACCAACCGACCATCCGACAAGCAGTTCTGAAGAAGCATACTGGCCCATTAAGCAGCACTGGGTGGCGCTGCTATAATTAGTCTCCAAATCCATACAAACTAATTCTATACAGTATAATACATGCTAATTGTCATTCTGTACTCTTGGTGTTAGAAACATACTGACATGACATGACACTATGTGAATAGGGATGACAATGCCGGTTAAACGTCTGGTTCAGGGTCAAGTTAAGCAACTAAGCAAGTGGAAACACAACAGGAAACACATCCAGCTAATTCAAATCTAGTTAGAGCTGGGCTGAGCCAAAATTTAATTTGCACAACAAAGCTTACCTCCCTGCACTGATGACAATTCACAGTGCAGGTTACCATTTTATGTTTTCTTTGTTGTCTTTGCCCAAAGGAGTAGAAGGTGGAGAAATCCACTTTACTCTAACATCGAGACTTCAAAGGTAGAGCTAGAAAGAGGACACTTCTGGTGGGGAATGGTTTCATAGCCAAAGGTTCAGGAGCTGAGTCTATCCCCCGGTTCTCAGAAGGTGTTTTGTCGAAGAAAAGAAAGAAGATGGAAGTGATGATGATGATAGGGGATGAAGAGGGTGGCTGCTGAGGGAGGACAAGCCCCTCAAAGTTTAGCCCGTTCCAACCGAGAAGGAAAAGGAGTCTTTGAAGTAGGAGCACGAGCAGACTTGCCCTATCTAAGCCTCCTGCAGACGCCCACACTCTCCCCTGATGACTTGCGAGAGAGAGCGATAGATAGATACAGACAGAGGTGGACAGAAAAGAGAAAGAAACTGAGAAGTATTCAGTGTGAGAGTAACAAAAGAGAACAGGGAGAAGGGAGGGGGACACCAGGCGAATGGATAAGGAGACGGTTAAGGAGAAAGATGGTGATGAAACAGAATAGTGGATGGCATGAATGAGGAAATGAGGGAAGGGAGGGTGAATGGAAGAAACAATGACAGAGATGACAGCGCGAGGGCGGAGGAAGAATGAATCAAACATGAGATTGGAGTCAATTAAAAGGAAGACTGTCAGGCTGGAACAGATTTAGAGAAGAAGACGGTTACTGTACCGAGAGACAGAAGAGAGACGGATTGCAAAAAAAGTTATATAAAGCATGTTGGAGAGTGAGACAGATAGCGAGCCCGGGTTCCTGAAAAGGAGCTGACTACTGTAGGCTTGCAAAACTGCCAGACTAGTGGTAATTAAGCAAGCTGATGTACACACCCCTACCACATGTACTAGATACATGCAGGGAAGGTGGAGGTGTAGAGGGAGGGATAGAGGCAAGGAAGCCATGTCAGGGGAGGACAGGAGGGAGGAGGATGTAAAAATGGAAAGAGATGTAGGGAAACACAGCAGAGGGATGATGGGAGGATGCAGTGGGAAACGTCACTAGGACTTTCCCTGAGCTTTTTTTTTCCCCTCCCCCCCTCCCCTGTTTTTCAGAGTGGGTGGTAGGCAGAGAGGAGGGAGACTCTCTCTCTCTCTCTCTCTCTCTCTGCAAGTCACGCACAACAGCTTCACCACCTTAACTCAGCCACATTGTACGTCTCTCTAACAAGACTCCTTTAAGAAGGCTGCTCATTCAGTCAGCAAATTCAGTAGAGGAAGAAGAGTGTTTGTTTTCTTTGCGGTGGCTATCAGAGCTTTAAACTCTCCAAAAGATACAGTTTTTGACAGGGTTTCAATTGAGAGCACACCTCTGTAATTGGATTTTACACTGACTCAAGCCTCGTGCTGAGTGGTTATCCTGTTTGTGGAGCAAGAAGCTTTAACTTCTCTCCTTTTGCTGGATTTTACTGTTGTGTTTACCTGGGGCCATCTTTTTTTTTTTTTTTTTTTTTGGAGATGAGATCCAGTTTTATGCAGGTCAAGCCTGTTGCTACACAGCAATGCAGCGTGAGTGTTTACAAGCTTGTGTTTGTGCATGTGTCATCGCATTGTGTGCTGTTGCATCTGTTTTGGATATGGGGGGTGAATAATGAAGTGGCAGCCTAAGGAGTTACCCAGCGTGCACTGGGTTGCATTTTAGCAGTGAACATAATTTATCTAAAATGCGAAGCATAGTTTTCCTCCAACAGTATTGGTTGACTTCATAAATTATAGAACAAACTAGCCAGCAGGGCTCGTTCTGGTGGTAAACATTTACACCAACAGTCCTTTAAAGTTGCTGAAATGGGTTTTGAAAAAGGTGAAATACCCAACATCTTCTTCTCACCATGAATAAGATGTCTAACTGAGATTATTGAATTAATGGGCACAACTTTGTAATAGGAATAATTTATAAAGCACTTCATAAATATTTACCAATGTTTTATAGATCAATTATAAGCACTCAATAAAAACTCCTTTTGGGTTGCCAGATTGTTAAAAATCTCCCTGGTTGGTGTTGATCCATTCTGTTGGGTAATAGTACATTAATAAATTCAGTTCTACATTTTTATTTATTTTATAAACACTTTAGTTTACTGTAATTTTACTTGAGTATTCTATTTTATGTTAATTTATATTTCTACTCCACTACATTTCAGAGACAAATATACTTTTTACTTTATTTATCTGACAGTTAGTAGTTTCAGATTCAGATTATTACAAAATATAAATCAACTATTAAATTCTAATATGTCTTTATGTGGCCAAAAAAACAGTTATGTTTTTACATTATGGTAAAGATACTTAAAGCCCCTACAAAGAACTTTAATTTTGTGTTGATTCTGATGGCCCATGTGGACAAAAATGGAAGTGTTTCTACCACCTGGTTTCATTAATTTCCAGGGGAATCGGATTAAATCCAAATATCTCTGTAGAAAGAGCTGTATAGGATATCCTCTCACTGATGGTCTTGTGTTTTGTTTATGTAGGTCATATAAAGGCATCAGTATTAAACTGTAAGATTAACAATAATTAAAGAACACTAGGCGGTAAAAAAGTTAAAATATTAAAACTGCATGCAGAGTGACAACAAAATGTCAAATTAAAAGACTCAGTATCCAACATTAGTAACACTCTTGGTATTTATTTATTATTTGAGACACATTATTACGCCTTCCTGGACACGTTAAACTGCATTAGAAAATCTTAGCTAATGACAACCACTAACGTTAAGTCTACCAATATATCCCCTTGAGGGCTTCCGCGGAGATGCTCTGACCTCTTCTGCAGTAATTTCCTGTTGCTGTCAGGAGCCTCTTTAATTAGTTAGAACCACTGGAATCATAACAGACCTCCTCCCCCTACAGTACCTCCACTCTTTCCCTTTCACTTCTATATATATCACTCTGCTCCGAGAACCAACCAGCTCCAGGGATTCCTGTACGTGTGTGTTCAAGCATGCTCCCGTGCGTGAGTGCATGCGTGCGTGAGTGCGTGAGTGCGTACGTGTGTGTTCAAGCATGCTCCCGTGCTTGCGTGCGTGTGTGCGTGTGTGTGTGTGTAAAATGTTTTGTGGTGCAGGGTGTGTGGACTTAAAGTGTGAGTGGATGTGTGGAGCTTTTGGCATGCATGCATGGAATGAAATATTCAGGTGACAGGCAGGCACTCAGGTCCTGAAAATGTCTTTCTCTTCAGCGTTTCTCCCCCCCTTTCTGCAGGAGCATGCGATTATGCTACCAGGAGTTTCTGTTCAGATTCCCTCAGTATTCTTGCTCATTTTCCTGCCGCAGCTTCACTAAAATGAAGCATCTGTAAGCTGGAAAAATAACACATAGGCATTGAATGTTATTGCATAGAGACACAGATGGAAATGGAGGATACGAAGCAGTAGGGCGGAGGGGGTGTACAGGGAGTTGTTGTTGCCCACAGGCTCGAGAGCACTTTCTGCATTATACATCAGCCTCTTTCTTGTTATTTTTTTTTTTTCTTCCTTCCTGCCCCAAGTCACTGCAGGAGATATCAAAGGCATCAGCTCTTCTTTAACCAGTTTCCAATTGAATCCTGGAACACAAATGAAGGACACAACTTTTGTCTGCTTTTACCAATGCCAAGTATCATACGCCCATGAAGGCATTTTGAAGGCATTATGAAGGTCCTTGCTGAAGGCTGTTAGAAGTGAACAGGAGGCACTCAGGGTACTCCAAGAAATGTAGTGCTCCATACGAAACACCGAAAGTGGCCTGAAAGGTGGGATGAATTGGCTGAATGGAGTGTGAATGGGCTGCAGTGAAAAGTAAATGAAGTTGTGTCCTTTGGTATTTATAGGTTGCTTCAGGTCTTGCGCTGGCCTAAATGAGTAGTGTGACCTTATCATTGGTATTGAGAGAAAATGGCTTCATCTTCCTCGTCTTGGCCTTTCCAAGTGACAGGTGTACAACCGTGTCTGTGAATATGTGGAATATTGAGCACCATCAGACTCCAGATGAAATGCAGATGGTTTTCAACCTTTTTAATCAGGATTATTTGCTACATATGTCTGATTTGTGTGTAAAGAATGTAATTGACTTTTTAATTTGAAGTTGTAAAAATACGTAGCATTTCAGAACACAATCAATCAGGACAAAGAAAATGCACAGATTATTTTCCTTTCTTGTTAAATGAGAAGGCTGGGCATAGTCTATATTTTTCTTATTGTCAACAAATCCTATAAAACCAAACAAAAACCAGTGATTAATTAATCCTACTACAAGTATTATCTGTGTAACCAAAGCCTGATATATTGTGTTTTTCTGTGCCATAGAGCTTCATCAGTGAGACCCACATTCGCAGTGCATGTTTCCTCATTATAGTGAACACAGTCACTGTCGTTTATTTTGAGGAAAACCACATACAGTGTTCTGCTGCTTATTAGCTCACTAAATGTGTATTCATTCGCAGCTGAAAATAGTCCCCAACAACTACACCATTTGCTCCTGTTTGAGTAACGTTTGCTGAAAACTGCAGTGGCCATTTAATCATCTCACAGCCCCTCAGATTTATTCTGAATCTTCCACATGCTCTGACACATACTCTCGTTTCCGTAGCACCACACCGGGCTGGAAAGCATCAGCCCCACTGAAGAGGTGACAGATACGGAGGATAATGAAGAGGAGGACCTGGGTGTCCTGGACGACCAGCGGAGCATCATTCTCCACCTGCTCTCCCAGCTCAAACTTGGCATGGACCTCACACGGGTAAGACACTGAAACACTGAAACACTGACTTTTAAGATAGAACTAAAGACTGGTGAGAATAAAAGTTTGTGTGTCATAAATGTGGTGTTTTTAGTGTGTAATTTTTTTATTTAATCGTTTGATTTCTCAACCTTTTGGTTTTCTTAGGTGGTGCTGCCTACCTTCATTCTGGAAAAGCGATCACTATTGGAGATGTACGCCAACTTCATGGCCCACCCTGACATGTTCCTGTCAATCACAGCAGGGGCCACAGCCGAGGACCGAATAGTCCGTTTTGTCGAGTACTACCTGACAGCCTTTCACGAGGGGCGGAAAGGTGCCGTGGCCAAGAAGCCCTACAACCCCGTGCTGGGGGAGACCTTCCACTGTTCCTGGGAAGTGCCTCGGGAAAAAGTCAAACCATTGGTCAGATCGAACCAGGGGTCTTCTTGGGAGCCAAGCAGGGGTCCCAACAACACACAGCAGGTTGACGATTCACCGGGAGAATGCTACAGAGTCCGATTTGTGGCGGAGCAGGTGTCCCATCATCCACCAGTGTCAGGGTTTTACTGTGAGTGCCGGGAGAGGAGGATGTGTGTCAACGCCCATGTATGGACCAAGAGCAAGTTCATGGGAATGTCTATAGGAGTGTCCATGGTGGGAGAAGGTGAGTTAATCCACAACATGGAACTTATAACTTTGGTATGAACTTTTTCTATATTAAACTAGATTTCTAGATTCTGAAGAGTTACAGCAGTTGTTTCAGCTATGCACCGACTGGTATGGCGACATATAAAAAATGAATATAAAATTAAAACAGCAATTTTCTCTTTAATTTTGACCGGCAATATAAGTGACAATGTAGCCTGTTAGTTGATTTTTAACCTGCCTTATAAATAAGGTAATTAGTAGAATCCATTACCACATATTGCTAAATTTCATTTATTCAATCTTTCTTCATTCAGGGTAGGTTGACTGACCATGCATGCTCTTTTCCAGCAACGTCCTGTTACAGAAACAAAGTGAGAAGGGTGCACAAGGGCATGATTAAAACAGACATCAGATAGAATGTACAGGCTCAGTGACAACCAGGTAGAGAACCTGACATAAGTCACATGTGTTGCTGCCTTTGTATTGTGGTTACTGTAAAATCATTAGTTGTTGAAAATACTGCAAACGTATGCAATAATGTTAAATAAAAAGGTCACACTGACATAAGCCTAAAACAGAAAGAGTTCACAAATAACTCTGACCATTACTGAAGACACTGATATTTTCTTTGTACAAAATGACCTTACAGCTGAATTAACAACACTGTCAAACATTAAATTAAACAAGAAAGTTGCCCTTAGAATACAGCTCACCTTTTGTAACATAAATGAGTTGTACTTGTTTGTAAGAAGGTTGTCATTGTGTCCGCTGGAAAACAGGAAGAACACAATGTCAAAATATTCTCTGAAAATAGCACTTTTTTCCCCCCCTTCTCTCTTTTAAACTGTGTCAGAGCGTCACAGTGTGCTGTCCTGTATGAAAGAGTATGATACCTCTCCCATGGCAATCAATAAGCCAGTCCTCTCTGTCAGCACCATTACACTATGTACAGTAGACTGTTCGGTATGAGTCACCCTGAGCGGAAACACAGGAAGTCCTTGAGCCCAATCGACTGAATCTGGATACATGAACTGATTTCTCCGGCTGACTGTTCCTCTGACTACCTGTCGGCAGGTTATGACGCAGCAGTTCATCGTCATGTGCGGGTGCTGATGCTGCCGTCAGAGAACATAGTGACCCTCACTCCAGGAGGTTTTGATTGCTGGGGTTTTTTTTCTTTTCTTTTTGCAGTGCCTGCTTTCCTGGGAGCTTTTGATACTGTATTTTTTATGAATGGCTCAGACTTGGCAGTGAGTCAGCACCAGCAACTGAACAGCAGGTACAGCAGCTGTTACAGCCAGATAGCTTTTGCGTACATGCTCAGGTTTTCCTCTGGTCCTGGAAGGGTAGAGATTTTGTACAGTTTCTCAGCTATTCTGTGTCTTAGAAATAGAAGATAGATTTACAAGCTAATCTGACCGGTGTTGCACCAATATTCTGTGACTATAATAAAGTGTGGCTGCATGGATGCAGCTTTGAACAAGTGTTTGTTGGTATTGAGGTTATCCAGGCTATTAAACATGGACTACCTGGTTATAATTTCACATTTTATACTTAATTTCCAGGTACAGTAGGGTCACATTTTCTGATGGCCTGTGTCAGAATTTGTGACCTTGATAGATGTTTTGGTTTTATTCAGTCTCTATAGAAAAATCTGCAAAAGTGCCCTCTAAGGTGCCTTTCCAGTTGAGAAAATGTGATGAAGTCCGCTCTAAGGCTCAAAGTCTTTTTAAATAAGGTACCCCCATTAAAATATTTCACAGCCAAGTACCCCCTGACCAGAGCAAAACATTTTTATATAAAGATGGAATAATACAGTGCTGCGCCATCAGTTCAAATGTTAGAATCCATCTCTAAATTCATGGCAAACGCAAATAAATAAATTATTTTTATAAATAATAAAAATAACACAAAGACAGCATTGAAGTTTGCGATTTGCGTGTTTTTGATAAGTTGCTCTTCCAATTTTGTGAGAAACATGAGCTTGTGGTTCAGAGGATCTTTGTCATTCTTGGTGGCAAGCAGGCAGCTGTGGTTTATCGAACTTAATTTTTTTTATTGAACTTATTATAGTATAATTATTTTAGGAATCATGCACGGCAGAAACAATGTCATGTACTCTCTGAAGTACTCTCTGAAGTACTCCTAGGGTACCCCCGTTTGAGAAATACTGCTCTAGGGTGCTCTAATCCTAACTGTGCATTACAACTTTCTGCACGCTGGTGACCTTTTTATTTTTTCACCCCTGCCCCTCAAACATCCTGAGTCCGCCACTGCCTTGCGCTGGTCAGTATATGGTGTAGCACCTAGCTGGTTTGTCTGGCATACAGGCCACTGCTGTGACTCTCAATAGTTTATCTCTCACTATGTCAACCGTCTGTGTCATGATATGACCACACTGGTTCACATGGAGTTTAAGACTGTAGGCGTTTTTGCAGTGAAACGTAGCTGCACAAGAGGTCTCGTGTAAAAATGTGATGATAGAACAGAAAGCCATTCATGGACACGTGAGAAGCAGAGGAGAGTTAGAAAGGTGTTGTTGTTTACGACAAAATAAATCCACTTATGCACTGACTGACTCAGATGATGATGGCTTACATATGCTGACGGTGGATCATGAGCTTTAAGTATAATAGCCTCCATTATGGGTATCTCAGCACTCGAGAGATGCAAACTGCCTAAAGGAGATATCAACTAGTTTGTATAATGTTGTTCACAGTGGGTGTTCATTGTGCTGAGTATAATGCATTATATGTAATAGAAAACAATTATTGCTGCCTCCAGTCAAGTTAAATAATGTAACTTTCTTTTTTTAATGCCCATACACACCAGCACACTGTAATCACAATATTACTTAAGATTTAAAGCTGCTGCTGTAATGGGCGCTTCAGAGACTGTTGGAAAGAATTAAATTCTTTACATAATATCAACTGTTTACGAGAGCGCCATATAATGCGTAGCCTAGTCATTACATTGAATTTAATTTATCTAGGATATTTAATTCCTGTGTACCTATTGCTTAGGCACATAACTGGCTAGGAGAAAACATCCACATATAAGGCCCATAGATTCACTCGGGTACTCCTAACATTTGATTATGCACATAGACAAAGAGAGGCAGTGTGCAGGGAAGTCAGCTGGCTCGACGTGCCTCAGCTGATTTGGGCTTTTTTAGAGAATTGCATCATCTCCTCCAAACTGTTGCAAAAAACACAGTTGAAGCAAATTCTCTTAACAAACAAGTTCCCTCTCAGTGTTTTACACATCAAACACTCAGAAAAAATTCTTAAAGCTGCAACAAGGAGCTTTAATTTTTTGTTGATTCTGGCAGCCACTGTGGACAAAAGCCTTGTTTCATTAATTTCAAGGGGAATCCGACTGAATCCGACCCGGTGGCAGGCATTAAGAATAACCATATAGAAATAGCCAATCTTCTTGTTGGTGGTCTGGTGTACTTATAAAGGTCATATAGAGGCATCAGTATTAAAGGTCCAGTGTGCAACATTTAGGAAGATCGATTGGCAGAAGTGGAAAATAATATTCATAGGTATGTTTTCATTAGTGTATACTATAAGAAATGTTGTGTTGTTGTTTCCTTCTCCTTCTTGCTGAAGCGAGAGAGTTGCAATCTGTAACTTAATCCCACACACTGGACCTTTTAAATTCAGACTGTATCATAACTCCTTGTAATGGAGTATAGAGTTTTCTTGTCCGTGTCTTTTCCTCACTTTTCTTCCCTTCTCCTCCCAGGGGTCCTTTGTCTCCTGGAGCATGACGAGGAGTACGTCTTCACATTGCCCTGTGCCTACGCCCGCTCCATCCTCACCGTGCCCTGGGTGGAGCTGGGGGGCAAAGTCTCCATCAATTGTGTCAAGAGCGGCTACTCCGCCACTGTCACCTTTCACACCAAGCCTTTCTATGGAGGGAAGGTACACAGGTGAGTATTTCTATGCCTTTCTCTGCCTCCTTGACTGCCTTTATACACTACATCTCACGTTGACAGCAAACATTAGAGAATTACTTTCATTCACTTATAAAATTGCCTGGTGTGACACTAGGATTAGGATAATAAATGAGGCAAATGTTGACCATTTATTTATTGGATACCAGTCAGACTATGTCATTCACTACCCTTGTGATAAAGGTTCATCATTGACAACAGCTGTATTAAAACAGTCTGTAAATCTTTTATCCACCAGTTTAATTTTTCAGTAGGTCAAATTAAATCTAAAATTCTTCATATTTGTAGGTTTTATTCATGTTGTAACACATAAGGTTCCAGAAATGAGGAAAAAAAAGCCTATAATGCAGGTATGTGTGTGACAGGCAGACAAGACAAATTCCTAACACCAATCTGTCTGTTTGGCCAACTCAGAGTGACAGCAGAGGTCAAACACAACCCGACCAACACCATCGTGTGCAAAGCGCAGGGCGAGTGGAACGGTACACTGGAGTTCACCTACAGCAGCGGGGAAACCAAAGTGATTGACACGGCCAAACTTCCAGTCACCAGGAAGAAGCTGCGGCCTGTGGAAAGGCAGGGGAGGACAGAATCCAGGTGAAAAACTCACCACAGCTGAGCTGAAGGGATAGTTTGGAGGTTTTGAAGTGGGGTTGTATGAGGTACTTACAGGTATCCAAACACACAGTCAGCAGAAAAACGTATTTTAGCCACATAAAAGAAGACTCCTTACTACCTTTAACAGAAAATATCCTCTTTTCTCCATGGTGAACAACATTTTGTCCTCGCTGTCATAATCACTCTTTTTAAACTCCTTGTATTGGTTTTCTTTTCTGTAAATTGCTGAAATTCCGGTCCAAACAGCTGATCTGCAGTTAGGCTTAGGTGCAGGAATACAGCAATTATAGGTTGAGAGGACGTAGCGCCAGAGGAAAAGGGCTGTCTGACAGCAAGGTAAAGTGGTGAAAATGTTCTTAATGTAGTATTTTTAAAAGGTGGGAGTTCTTTTATGTGACTTAAATACGTTTTTCTGATGACCCTGTAAACAGCAGTGCATTACTCTGCTTCCCTGTCGGGACTCCTTTCTGCTGTGGGTGCGTTGACCTCCATCTGCTGCTGGATGAGTACCTCATACAACCCCACTTGAAAAACACTGAACCATCCCTTGAATGCAATTTTCTAAATACATTAGGGTAATGCCAGATGTGAAAGAATTGCTTATACATGAAATTGTTGTGTGTGTTTCACCTGTGCATGTAGGCGGTTATGGCAACATGTCACCAAGTCGCTGAAGGACGGGAACATTGACGGGGCCACGGAGCACAAACACAGGCTGGAGGAGCGACAGAGAGGGGAGGAGAGGCAGAGAGCAGCTGATAACAAACCCTGGACACCCAAATACTTCACTAAAGAGGTACAGTGGAGGGAAATTAAGATTGTACCTGTGATACATGGTTTAGCGGCAGAGTGGGATGGAAATCTCTTCTTGTTTACTATATAGTGCACTATTAATGTGACTGGGTGTGGAATTTTTGTTCCCCCAACCCCCCACAAAAAAAGTTGTGTTCATGGCATGTACTCTACTGTCTGCCAAACAATACCACAGTGCAATGTGTCACGTGGATTGAAAATTACACTAAACCTGTCAAAAATGATGCAAAATGCACTGAATGAGGCAGTGCTATAGGACACAGCTAACAACAAACTTAGGTCTGATGGTACCTTGGACAGTTTTGGATTAATTTTGGTGGGTCGTGTCTATCTGTCTGAGATTTCTGCACTAAATGGAATTTTGTTTGTTTGTGCTGCTCACACCAAAATTCAGCAGCATCATCTCCAGAAACAATGTTCTTGTTATTCTGAGTAATTCACAGACCTCACTGTGAACAGTTTGCCTTATTACTCCAGTAGAAAGTGGTTCACGCAACTATTTCTGTCACTTTTCCTGTGAACAACTGAGTGCAACAATATGAATATCTTCCAGAGGAGACTGAAAATGCGCGCCATTATCTCCGAATTTAACCAATATCACACGTCTCTCTCCGCCATCCAGTGTGACAGTTCCAAACAACTATAAACAGATTTCTGATTTCCGATGCGGGTGGACAACCTGACCCTCGCTCAATCAGCAACAATCAGTACAGCAAACACCGCCCTGATTGTTCCTGTGAAAACACAAAGTACTAACCTCAGAGCACTGACTTAAGCTTAATTTCCACCCTAAACACCTGGAACTTTTAGGCCCAGGAGCTACTTTACAAGAAACTCAAAGGTTCCCTGTTGGTCTTAAGACCTGCAAAGATAAAGCAAATCAGTCTTACATTTTTACACATAATTTTTGCCTGGACTTCGTCTTTGGTCCATCTATCCATTGTAAGCTTTCTCTTGTAACTCCTTGTTGACGTGTCGAAACACAGTGTACAAAACCCAAACTGGTTTGTGGCTCCAGATCTTTAAAAATGGTGGCTGAAATAAAAAGTTGCGAGTATTTGATCAGAAATGTTTAGCTTTACAAGCCCCATCCTGGATGTCCCCAGAACTTAATTTAGACTGTGAAGTTCATCCAAAAGTTCATAGTCCCTGAGGATGTTCCTGTGGGAGAAACGCACCAAGGTAAGGTTCCTGAAATCATCATTGGGATGGAGGCAAAAAGCTCAAAACCTACAAAAATAAAACCATAGCTATCTACATGGCTACATACCACTATTGGTACTAGTAGTATATAGTGTACAATTTGTACTACCTTTTGGTGAACTGACCCTTTTAAGTTTGATTAGGTAACAGAGATATGTTTGTTATTCTCTTCACCTTTCTTTTAATCGTCCATTTGTCTTCCTCACACCTGCAGGGAGAAGGTTGGATCTACAACAACCCACTGTGGAAGTCGACCTGACAGCAGAACAACACTCTCTTCTCGTGGACAATAACTCCTCTGGCCTCTCCGCAGCGAGGCCAGAGGTTCGGGGACTCAAGCGAAGGGACCTCCAGAGACCTTCTAGACCTGAGCTATAGACTCCCAGAGTGACAAACAAACAGGAAACAAGCAAGGTGCCAAAGGGATCTCCACTGTTATAACCAAGATGGTGGTTGGAGCTCTTGGGACAAAAGTACATTTTTATATACAGTTAATAGTATTACTATTCAAAGTAGAGTATTTCTATTTTTCACCTTGCCAAGGCCTTTTTTGCACACGCACAGTAATGAAGTTTGCCACTGGTGTTTTGCTTTGGGTTTTTTTTTTTTTTTTAAATGATCAATATGTTTTCTAAGACATTGTCAATGTTTGGTTCCAAGCTTTTAGTTTGTAATGCAGCATTAGAATGAATCGATACGAGTCCCCTGATACAAATAATACTGTAGCTGTAAATTAGCTGTTTATAAAAAGCACTTTTACCATAGAAATAAATTTCATATTTTATATCATACAGCTTTTACCAATCAGGGTGGTCTCTTAGAGCTTTACGGGAAATAAGAACACCTAATCAGATTTTAAAGGAGATATAAATCAAGAGGTAAAACAAATAAATGTACTACATTATGATTATGTGTTATATATTATTATACAGTACATTACAGTGAGCTACTAGAAAGTAGAGGTCCTGATTGTTTTGTCTGCACTATGAATGTATTTGGGCACATTTTATTAATGCTATGTTTCCACCTTGTACTGTTCGCTACGACACATGCTTTTTGTGTTTTACCTTTTTATTTTGCCACGTTGCTCCATTTACAGTATTTCACCTGCTGAGTGAGATGCATCTGCATAAACAGACATTTCCATTACTACCTCTCTTATTCAGCTAAACCAGCCATTAACCACTTTCTCTTCCAAAACAAAACACTCCTGGGAATCTTTTTTTTTGTATCTGTGCCCCTGAGATGGCACTTGTGTAATTAGGCAGCCGCTACTTACCCAGCCTGTGCCTCCTGAAGTTAATACTCCTTAGGTCACCCGTGGTGATGAATATGGATGAGCAGGCTTGCAGAAACACACAACCATGTTTTCACATCTGGGGTCACTGGGAGGTTGCTTCTGTGAAGATGAGAGGATAATCTACCAGAATAACAAATCACTGGGAAGTGGGGTAACCGGCCTGTTGGATAGGAGAGTAAATATATTGGGTCATACTACTGTGGTTCTATTATTTGACAAACTGTGCGGCCAATTTTCAGTGAATGGCTTTTCCAAATAAAAGAAAAGCAGAAAATGAATATGAGCAATTGATAGTATATTCACTTCATGGTGTTCTTCACTGAAAATGTATTTCTAACGGCCTTATTTTTTGTCATGAAAGGACATAAACTCCTCACTGCTTGCTCTTTCAGTTGTTCCGGCACTTAAAAAGGTTCAAATCGTATTAGTATTTTCAGCCAGATGCCTATTTGTAGCTTATGCCATGACAGTATAGAGAACAAACACACAACCATCTACAGCAAACCACTGTTCATTACTGTTTTATGACACCCGCCTTACATGAAACTAACAAGCAGTTTTAGTTTTTATATCCAAATGGATCCAGACTCACTGACGTAGATAGTGACTGTGGATAAAGGAGGGATTGTTCATTAATAAAGAACTTCTACCTTTTTTTTTTAAACTGAACATGTCTTCTCATGCTGTCCTGAATGTACCTCTGTTATAATGTCCTGCATTCGAGTTATTAAGCATAAAACGTATACCGCTACTCCTCATTCACTCCACGGTAGAGGACCTACACAACGGCCAAAGCAGGTTCTGTTTGAGATTATGTTCTAATAAATGTGCCATGGCAATCATGGACTCTTTAACCTTGCTAGTGGTGTGGCTCTAACATGGAAAACTTCATCCTGACCAGTGCTGGGCAGCAACTCATTACTAGTAAAAGTAATAATATTACGTTTAATAACTAGTAGTAGTAGTGTAACTAATACATATAATAATACAGTTACAACTCCAAAAAATAATTAGTTACAATTTGCTACTTTTTGTAGTTATTCATTTTTGTAATCGTGCTACATTAGCACATTTACATGCCAACTGTATACGCACTAACAAGCTAAATGTCACGTACTACATGTAATTATGTAACTATACTACTCACTAATGGTTGCCCATTATTATGGAGCTCAAACAATGCCTGAGTGCAGATTCAGGATGAGCACGCCAACATGAAATCTGCATCTGAAATTAGGCTCAGCTGTTCATGCTAATGTGCTAACAACCTGAAGCCACTAGGAAGGATAAATAAGGATAAACCTTGTGATCTTGGTAACAATGTGAACTACTCTGATGCAAACCTTTTTTTTTTGTTTTTGGGGTGAAATGAGCATTACAAGTGTGGTTATATACATTTCTACCTTTGGAGGACTTGGTAAAGATTGTCAGAATATTAATACTGCCTGCTTTAACACAATCAACTCTTAAGGGTAGTGTGCTGCTTTTATAACCAAATATACCTCCTCACACCAGGGAGCCATCGGAAAGTAAAGCTCTGGAGAAATTGGGATTCAAGTGTCTTACTCAGATAGAGTTAAAGGAACATTAGGAAGTATAACAAGGGGTCTCAAACTTAACTTGGCTTGGGGCCACTGCTGGTATTGTTGTCTCATAGGAGGGCAACTTCCAACTACTACAAGAAAACGCAGTAAGATCATACTTAACGTAATGCAAACAGCAGTTTCTATACATTTTCAATTCATCATTTGATATTTGTTTGTTTGAAGCCAAACAACAAATGAAGACCTGAAACATGCTCGCTTCCTATTAACCGTTTGCATGGATTTGCAATTAAAAATTGTTTTTATTTAAAATTTTATATGAAGGGGTAAATAAGAACAAGAAAAAAATATTTTAACAAAATCTTACTAGCGGGATTTCATTATATTTTGTGACTTCATGGCATGGGCCGGTGGGAGGGGGATCAAGGGCCAGAGTTGGGCCCCAGACCAGCAGTTTGAGATCTGTGTTAAAGGGACGTTTGCCTGTACATAACCTAACCAATATTTACCCCCCCCCCACACACACCAGTGGATTCCACCATGTGACCACTATCATAAGCCTGCTTCACAAACCCATCACCAACTACTCTTACCATCTCAGAGTTAAGTCATTCTTTCTACATACTGCTGCAGACTCAGAAGATAATGTCTTCATCCAAAGGCTAATGCTGCCATCAAGTGGTTGGCTTTCTCTTCAACTAGGTTGAAAAATATGAATATACTGAATGTGCCGTGTTAATAATTCTGAATAATGCTTTGGTTTAAAAAGTACTTCATTCATGAATTCAGTAGGGGGAAGTGACACATCAATAACAACAGCTTACACAAAAGGTTTTCATTAAAGTGTATATTTAAAGATGGCTGAACAGAAGAACAATGAAAAATGTAAACTCTGAAGTTGAGGGAGGGATTTCATCAAACAAACGGTGTTGGGGACAGACGCCACTGAGCTAAGAAATGAGTAAACTTAGTAGAGGAAGGAACTGTTCCGCCACTCCGAAGTGACAAAAAATGTGAAAAAGAAAAATGAAAACATAAGAGGGCAAAAAACTGTACATCACATTAAGGCTTAGTCGGAACTCTCTCCTCTCTTAACAAATGAGAAATCAAAGGACATGACACGGTTTTAGGCATTGTGTCGAAGGTCTGAAGCCTGAAATGGTGACACTTAGTTTCAGAGATCAAAGCAAAGAGAACAAAGCGATTCAGACACTTTTATATAAAAAAAAAGAGTAAAGAAAAAAACAATAATCAGGTGATACTAATAAGAGTTACTTTCTGTGAGATGTGACAAAACAAGAACAGCTATATGATGCATTAGTCTTTTGATGTGTCTTATTTGATAAAAAAGTTACTGAAGCGTGCACAAACATGAACTCCTTTAGTGTTTAGACATCTGAAGAACCCAGACACACAAAGAACAGTGCAGTGCCTATAGAATAACAAGTCAAAGGTTACGGCTCATTAGAGCTGTGTCCGAAGTCGACAGAACTGAAACCATTCGGTAACAAATTAATTATTCAATTAGCAGAAAATTGACTAACTATTTAAATATTTGATTAAAAGTAATTTTATAAAGCAGAAATGGCTCAATTTCATTGGGTGCGTCTTCGCAAATATGAATATTGCATTTGTTTTGTCTTCTACATTAAACTAAATATCAGATAATATGTCACCTCGGACTTTGACTGGGCATTTTTACCTGTTAGTGACATTTTATGGACCAAATAATTAATAAAAAAAAATCAATAACAAAACTGTCCATTCGCATTATTGTTATATACCAATAAAAGAATACTATAATAAGTACATAGCGTATCTTCATAAGGTTTTATCCTGAGGCAGATTCAGCAAAGATCCATGCTCAAGAACTGATCTAATCTTAGTTTTCTTATTAGAGTTAAAATAATTAGATATCATGGTAAATACTGGATCTTGACTCATACTATGGACTAAAAGTAGATTAGGAAATATCTCAGCTTCTGTTCCTTTGATTTTGACCTCACTAAAAGAAAACAAATCTGTTTTTTGCAAGTCGACCAACTTTACAGAACATAATGAGTGGAATGCTCCTTTAATTGGAAACGGTTTTATCAGTCTTTGGACTTGCTTCTTTTCACTGTTTGAAATCTATGTAAATAGAATATTTGGGGATTCTGGCCATATGACGAGACATTTAAAGAAGTCAACTTGGCTCTGGGAAACAGATTTGACATTTTAATTTAATTTGCAATACTTTTTAGACAAGCAACTGCGCTAACGGATGAAATAATTTGTTGCAGTTGCAGCCAAAATGCTTACGGACATAATTTAGAATAGCTCTCAATTCTACAGTACGAACAAATTACATTAGTGGTGAAACAATTAGTCAGTTTTTAAAGGAAAAAAACAAACAAAAAGCTGCCTGTTACAGCTACTCAAGTTTTTTTTATATCATTAAAAAAGTGAATATTGGGGGGTTTTGGACTTTTGGTTGGACAAAACAAGATCACTCCCACTTGAGCCCAGGGTAACTGTTATTTTCTGACATTTTACAGACAAAACAACCCATAAATGAATAACACTTAGTTGCAGCACTATTGCTTACTGACATATTGGAGGATAGCAGTTAATTCTACACTGCAAATTAACTAGTCGATAACTTTTTGGAATTATATGTAGTGTGGAAATTGGACACAGCTCTAAAGTACCCTAAAGATGGTCGTTAGTCCATCGTAGTTACAGACAGTGATGGAAGTTCTTCTCTTTCCTGACCTCAGTTGTCTTGGAATAACTACCCCCCCCCCCTTTCACAGTTCACCAATCTATTTCCAAACATCCTGAAAATGTCCAGTTTCCAATGCCTCAGTCTGGTCCAAGCACCCAACCTGCTGCATTGATAGATGATGAGCTAAACCAAAACACTAACAAAAGTAAAGACAGTCACAAATTAATGAGGCGATGATGACCAGCGAGGCACTAGGCACACTGACCTAGAGAGCTCCCTCTGCAGGAAGGGAGGCCTAATTTATTATCACTACTTTTTACACACAGTTGCCTGCTCTCGTCTTTAAAACCCTAGCAGCAGAAATGTACAATCTACGCAATTTATGAAAAAGGGGGTCTGGGGGGGGAATGTTGTAAAAATTCACATTCACTCTTTCAACAAAACCTCAAGCCCCTCTGTACAAGAATTATTGCATTCACTGTTCTATTTGCTGTCATACAAAAAACAATCACATAAAGAAATTAAGAGGAAAAACAAAAACTGCATATTTAAAAATCACCACAATAATCCAATATATTATCATCCTTTTAGACATTTTCTTTACATAACATATTTACATATTAGGCCAATTTTTTTTTTTTTCTAAAGAATTTGTTGAAAAAGAAGGTCGGGGAGCCAGGCAGACATAAATGAGATGATGATGAGAAAAAGGTTAATATTACAGATGGGCTGTGCCTAGACAGTGACGTTCCTCCATACCGCATACTGCCCTCTGTACACGTGTCAGGAACAAGTCCTCAGCTTTCACTCCTGCGCTTCCTCATTCCCAGTAAGAGTTCACATGTGCCATGGAGCAAGGTCGATGGGTCTTTGGTGCAAATGTTCCTAGTCTTCTCTTGTTTCCCCCCTCCACTTACTCCCTCACCCCAATCCCCGTACTGATAAGCAGTTAATTAACGTACCACAAAGAAATTAATCGACGCCGAACCAAGTAGAGCAGCCCTATGCCTTGCCACACATTCAAGTAAAAAATAAACAAAACAGAAACGCCCCCCCCCCACAAAGAAAAAAAAAACAGGAGAAAATAAGCAAGACAAAGATCCTCAGGATAAAACGGACAACAGTTCTGGAGCTAGCCAGATATGACACTTCAACTTCCTCAACACACGGGGGAGCTCTAATGAGAAGCGCTTGAGACCAAGTGCAAGATAAACGGCCCCTGTGTTCTTCTTCAATGGTTGTTCGAGGTTTCTTCGCATTTGTTTGTTTTCCTAGAAGAGTTTGTCATCATCATCATTATTTTTTTTGCAGTTTCTTGCCTTTCCTCAAGACAAGCTTGTTCTTGATGTGTCCTCGCTTCCTCTTGGCGGTCTGAGGAACAGAAAACCATAACTCAAGTTACAAACCATTCTCTAAAATAATAAAAATATTTTCTGACTTGCATATCACTTTTGGCCCATCAAACAGAATCTCCTCGTATTATCCAATGACAGAAATGACTGAATATGATGAATTTAGAGTCACAGAAATCTTTGAGAGCTTCAATATACTGTAGCTACTAACAAGTACACATTAATACTGTTAAGAACTGAAATTGGAGCATATACACTGGTTTATTTGTAATGGAGAGTTGTTTATTATCATAAATATCCGTTTAAAGTGTGTGAGTGTGGCATCTAGTGGTGCATTTGCAGCTTGCAACTCCCTCACTTCACCCTCCCCTTCCAAGTGCGAGGGAGAAACTACAGGACCTTTTAGAGTAACTGAGTACCGTTAAATATACTGTTACTGTAAGTTCAGGATGTTAAGTTGGTGGTGGGTTTTCACCAACAATGTCAATTATGTTTTGAGAACATAACCGAATCTTTCTAAAACCAGAAGGCAAAATTAATCACTTTTGATTAAAACAACAGAACAGGATGTGTCCTGCTACCTTTTTGGAGGTGTACTTCTGCTTGGGGACTACACTGCGAAGCTTGTGGTCCAGCGGTTCTCTGTTGTCCAGATTCTTGACCTTGTAGATCCTAACCAACCAGTGCTCTGAGGTAAAGGCCTCTTCCAGGTGCTTGAACTTAATATCCTTGTTGCCGATCTCGGCGTTGCGTGTTCGGTCGAAGCCAGGAGGCGTCCGGAAGTCCAGCTGGGAGATGGATATGGTTGTCAAAAGAATATTTAGCTAGATAGCTTGGTAGTTTGGAACACAACCCCCCCCCTAAAACCACAATTTGTCATTTTACAATGCTGTTTTTATACATATTAAAGAAACAAGACATAACATGTTAATTAGTGAGCCCTGCTTCCAGTCTTCATGCTAAGCTAAGTGCTTGTTGGCTGTAGCTTCATATTTACAGATGCGAGAATAGTCACAATCTTCTTATCGAACTCAGTAGAAAAGCAAAAGTGTATTTTTAAAATGTTGAACTGTTCCTTTAAAAAAGGAGCGAAAACGTTTTCAGACACAACATGACAAATTGTCTTACAAAGACAACTTCACCTCAGCCAATGCAGTGTCACTAATTCCAACGTTAGTGCTCATCAGTTCGAGACAAGAACAAACACAATTATAATAGAAAAAGTTTGATAGCCTTTTGATTACGGAGAAGTGTCTGCCCTTTGGCGACTATTAGGCTGCATTTCACTCTGTATGAACCACTTACAACCTCTCATCTTTGACTGCTCCTCTTACCTTGTCCCTCTCACATTTGATTTTCCTTTGTCACGTCAATTCTCAAAGCTACAGTTTCAATCTGCCTTCCCTCTCTTGTATTTTACTCCCGTTTCCTACTTTCACTTCAGACTCCATTCGCCCTTTGGGTACCACCTTCCTATCCACAGTACCTTGGCAGCTCATTTATGCCTTCAGGCAGCTTCAGAGGACACAGAGTTTTAAATATTAAATTTTTATCAGTCACAATAGTTTAGTCTCGCTATTTGGATTTAATAGCACTGTTCAACTTGTCATTTAATTGTTAAGAAAAATAAATAAAGGAGTAGGATTCTGGGGAGATATGACGTTGGTGGTTTGAGTCTCTTCATTTTATACTTTCTATTCTGCATGTATTATGCATTGTCAGTATTATCCTTTAATCTCCACTCACTGCAACACACTGCATCCTCAACTATCCTGTATAGTTCACCCCACTCTACTTATTGTCTTTTCCCCAATGTCCTCTAAGCCTCGGTTTCACCTTGTCACATCCCATTTCCGTAAACCTAATCTACCCCCCTTTACTCTAACTCTCTTTTTTTCCCCCTCACTGGGCTCACTCCTTCCTCACTCCATCTCCTTTCTGTGCCTCATTCTCTCCATCTCTTTACCCCAAAACAGCTCTGTGAGCTACACAGAGCCTTGGCAGTCTGTCTATGGATGGAGGCTGCATTGATTCTCCCATCTCAGCTGAGCTGTTGGCCAGGCCACATCTACAGCAAAGATGTAAGCACCTGGCATGAAGGATCCCTCTCATCTCTCCCCTGCTACCTGCCAGAAGTAGCCGTGGCACATCTCAAAGCTTCCGCCAATCCTTCATATTCCTCCTCCATCCTTTCTTTTCTCCCCCCCACAACACACTCCTCTCCAAACCTCAGGAGCTCACAAAAGGCACCTCCTTATATCCTCTTCCGCCTGTCTGTCAGCAAGCTCTGCTACAGTAGCAAAAAGTTTTACACCTTTGGTGGTGGCAGCTGCTTGTTAATCTCTGGTAAAGGTGCAAGCTGCATAAGATAGTAGTCGTACTTTTTCCTTATTTGGTGATAGCAGCTGCTTGTTACTCTGATCTTGGCGCAGAGGTGGAACTCATTATTTGGACCTATGAATGGGGATCATAAGCCGAACAAAATCTCTTTAAATTCAGTAGAGAGGTTCTCTCTAGCCCTGACCTCACACCTGGAGATGAAAAAAAAATGATCAAAGACATGCAGAGTTTTTTGGCTATGTTAACTTGGCCAGAAAGCAAAATCGAGTCTTTCATTAGGGCTGCTTTGCTCACCTGCATTTCACCAAATCGATAATAAGACATCTTGTACATGAGGCAGTTGAGCAGAGTTGGTGAACCAGCCTTGTCCACTCTGAACTCTCCCTGAGGGGTGAAGTAGTCACTCTCCTGAAGAAGACAAAGAAAAGGAAAGTAAGATAAAGAGATAAATGAGAAGATAGCGAAGTAATTTAGAAGCACCAGCGCCAAGAACTTGCTGATTGGATGTGATAAGGGCTGATAAAAATATGAAAAAAAAAACAGCCTGTTTGTGATTAGAGTTCTGCATCACGTCCTGAGTATGACAGGGCTCGATGCCATGGACTGATTAAGATTGGATTTGGGAAGAATTTCACATTAATTGATGAGGCTCAGACAGAGCATGGTGGATAAAAATAAATTAATGAAATCAATACAAACAACTGCTACTACATAAACATAAAATAACTGCTTTGAAACTATTGTCCAACACACTACCTACATGGTAGTGTCTCCGTCACATACAAAACAGGAAATCATTTCTTGATTGTATGTGTGTGTGCACGTGTGTACACACAATTTAAGTAATAGTTTTTTGGGGAAATTCCGCTTCGGCTTTTTTCTCGGTTTAGTACGGATTAAACGAATGAGATAAACACTGATAATGACTATATATGTGAAGTGAAGGCAATGCAAATGTCTTAAACATGCATTCTATGTCATGGCCAGCAGGGGGCAGCTTATGGAGAAAGGACCCTACTTCTCATTTGATTTATTAGCTAATTCCTAATGGAGTTTATGGTCTCAATCACTAGTTTCAAGTATTACATTACACTTACAATACAGCATGAATAAAATAGGTGATAAAGCACGGTATGCTTTTGGGTGTGGCTACCTTGTGATTGACACAAAACTCAGATCAACTGTCAAATTAGGCAGCGCTAATCAAACATCAAGATTCTGTTACTGCATTGTTGATTCCTCGCTTAAACAGTTTCAGAAACATATTTTAGCATACCACTCAGTTGTAATACGAGAATATGCGTGACCAGTCAAGCCGCCATTGTTTCCTGCTACGTGACCTCCACTGGCTCCAAAAAAACATTGTGGCTAAAACCATAACCCCAAACACAGATTTTGTTACATTCAGACAGAGTCATTATAGCTGTTTCCCCCTATTTCCAGTCTTTATGCTTGGCTAGGCTAACCACTTGCTGGCTGTAGCTTCATATTTGATGTACAGTACTATACTGAGAAAGTCTTCTAATCTAATTCTCGGCAAGAAAGCAAATAAGCGCATATGGTTACAGAACCTGGTTCTGTAATCAGGGTAGAGGACTAGAGAAATATAAACCATGTTTCTCCTGGTAAGGTGGCGCTGTGACAGCAAAGTGATGATGGGAAAGATTATTACGCAATACGCACGCTGCGATACATCTCGTATTCAAAATAATTCTAAAACCCAACATATTCTGGTTTCTCTGAATAGCCTGGTTTCTTGAGTGCATGTAAACCTAACCTACTAAATTTGTTTTTGCGGCTGTCACTCGTAGGTATATGTGGTACATTTATGTGCTGGAGTCAGGTGCAGCATTCATGAGGTGCTGTATGTTGAGTCAACAGGGACAGTGTGAAAATCGGAATTTGATATTTTTCTTGCATTAAATAAAACGACAATTTGCTGAACGGAGTCTGTCCTTGAGCACAATTATAAAGAGTTAATATAAACATTAATTTCACTGCTGTGCCAGTGCTCACTACATGACCTCATGCAGAATCGCTGCAGTGGCAGGCAGGTGCTGTCATACACTCACCCTGATGTCCTTTGGGTGCTCTCCCTCCGCTATCCTCACCATCCACAGGAACTTGTTTATATCGTCTCCCGAGTAGCCGATTACACCGCCGAATATGATCAGAACGTAGTCCACGTCCAGTGACCTCATGATTTGGTAGGCTGCACTCTCGTTGGACGACATGGCTTTCCCAACCTAAAAGCAGTGATAAAGAATGACAAGGGGTTCTCTCGGTTTCACAAGACACAGTGCTTCAATAAAGCAATGGCAAAAAACAGGAATTATTAAACAGAGATCCATCTTGCATTCTCTGTAATTACATTTCTGTAGACGGATGCTGAAGAGACAACAGGCAGCAGGTAGAAAGCAAGAGAGAAAAAAGCTAGAGGGCTGTAAAAGACTGAAAGACAAAAACATTTCTCTACATTTGGCAGCAGAGAGAGAAAAAAATAAATCAAACCCACAGAACCTGACAGCAATTAACTGAAATCCCTCTACACTGTAAATTCAATGAGAAAAGTTTAAGCAAACACGATTATCTGGCTTGTTGGAAGGAGAGGTTTGATACAATGTGGCAATTACATAAAAAATTCACTGAAGAGCTTGCTAATCAGCTGGTGGCTGCTAGAAGAAATCATTTGTTTCTCTGCAAGTGAATAAATCCAAAGAGTAAAACAGGAGGAGAGCAAAGACATGAAGACAAGAATAAGACAGACAAAAGGGAAACAGATAGAGGGGCTCACCAGTGCTATATGACTGTTGTTCCATGTGTTATTATCTACTAGTGTCGTCCTGTTGGCCATGCCAGCTATTTGATAGCCGTAGTCCCACCACGACATGACGCGTGCATGCTCGTCCGTATTCTGTCTCAACCAGTAGTAGGCCTCCCTGAAGTCATCCAGGATGTTACGCGTCCTAACAAGGGAAAAAAAAGGTTGACAGGTAAAGGCATTGACAGGCATATGGCTGCGAAGACTATTAATATTTCAGTTAAGACTTTGAATCAGAAGGGCAACAACAGCTGAAAATAGAGCAACCATGCATAATAAACTGAGGGTTGAAAAACACCTTCACACTTTGAACGTTTATGTCCTAAATTTACCTTGAGGAGTGAGAGTAGACATAAAAGCCAGGCAACAAATGAACCGTAGGTATGGTAATCATATTATGTCTGTGTGCCTGTGCATTTTTGCGCGAGTGTGTGGGTGTATATGTGAGAAGGAGAGCAGAGTGACATCTATGCTGTTTCCTTTAGCACAGCTAAACCATTGTCTAAGAACTGCTGTGGTATTATTAATATATGTATGACAACTTGCATCTACCATTTAGTCTCGGCCTTCAATATTTCCTTCCTAATGCTTAAAGAGAATAATTATGCCTGTAAAGAATCTCAGAGAGAATAGTATATCAGCTGGTCCACAGATGTCTTCTGTGACCTAGAAATACTAAGTTAAGCAATCATATTAATGCTTATAGGTTCACATGTTAATATTTTCACAAACCTCTAACGAAATATACATATGTTCCCTGTATCCTGCAGCTCTGTGTGTTCGTGCACACTCACTCAGACATTTGTGCTCATTTGCATGCAAGGTGGAGCAATCCGTCCTTCTGCATTATGAACTACAATTGGAGACTTTGCATGGCTCATTGCAGTAATTTAACATCCATTAACATGTTATAACCGAAGGGTGTGCATGTATAATTCTTACCCGTCGTGGTTGTACGAGGCGAGCACCACGCTGGGACTAGAGTAGGCGTTGCTGGTGACCCAGGTGCAGTGGACAGCAAACATCATCAACAGCATCAGCATTAGCATGGTAACGATGGACTTGACGTTTGGACCCAAACCCTCCTCGGCTTTCTCCTGCTCTGACACATGCTTGCGCACCTTGCCAGCCTGCAGAAGGAGACAAACACTATTATGATGGACGGCAAAGTCTATAGCGTTCCAGGGAGATGAATTATTGAGTGGAATAAATTATTGAATGAACTAATTGAGCAAAGTATCTTAGAGCATCCCCAAGTTTTCCATGCTGTGTGATGAGTTAATATTATTTTATACTAGCAGCAATGAATCGTTAAGGGTATGAAAAGTCTGGTGATGACGAAATCTGACTGGCACATCCAAATACTTTCCCTAATAGCTGAACTGTGACCTGAAGATGAGCAGAGATAGATGCAGATAAAAAAGGACATAACATTTGAATTCTGCTGACTGAATGCATGAACTGCAAATCAAACTGAAGTCACTGACACCAACTTAAAATCAAGGGACTGTAAAGTCAATACTTGCTTATATTGAAAAAAATTTGTGTTTTAATTAGTGTGTGTGAAGACTGCTTTGTGTGACAACTGCCCTGTAGTCATGTGATACATGTACTTTGTTCTCACGTCTCTCTTGATCTTAATGAGACTTGCTGTTGACTAGCTTACTAACCATCACTTATATATATATAGATAGGAGAAAAAATGTTTAACACCATCATCATAAATCACACACACCAACATGATACGTTGATAACATTGCATGATACAATATGTCTTTCACTGCAGCAAGGATGTGTAACGAGTACTGTCACCATAAACAGACTTCAACGTGACTGTCTTGATGTACAAAAACTGGCTTAAACATGTCATTTTTGAAGCATTACACAACTTTACTAAATTGTTAAACAAGCTAAACTGTAATTTTAGCATCACCTCTGAAGGATGAATGTTTGAATAGCACATGAAATTATGGGATAACAAGATGGACTTCACAATCCAGTTTGACAGCAATCAGTTAAAAAATCAACAAAGTGAGACAGCTAAAATTATGGCAGCAGCATCAAACAGTCGCAGCTGAATCACAGTTGAATCACAGTTTACACAAACTGGCAAGCAAGACTGGTGGGGAGTGAGGAGGGAAGCTGACAAACATGATAAACTGATAAATACAAACTGAAATAGGTGCTTCAAAGGAGCCTAAAATCAATGAGGAACTTAGCAAAATATCTCAGTAAATGTTGTTTTGTCTTTTCTTGTTTGCTGTGTTATTACAGTATTCAATTCTAGGATTTCTGACAGCCAAAATTCAAGCATCATAACAACTTCTGTTGCAGGGAAATGAGTGCAATATCTCAGGAGAGCAATACTGATTGACATTCTTTCTGTACATGTTGATGTGAATTTTGACAATTATTCTGTCCTGTGTTGACCTTGTCATAAAGGTTCCCAGAGTTCCTCTTGTCGTCCTCGTCACTGCTGTCTTCAGCAGGGGGCTTCTCCCTCTTTGTGTCATCTCCCATGTAATGCTCAAAGACACTGGAGAAAGCCACCGCAGAGAGCATGCACACCACCGGGGTCAGTGTCAGCATCAGTCGCACCATCACACCCGCAAAATAGACCGCACTGATGGCGTACAGGGCCACTAAAAGGACATGGAAAAGGAAGTGGGTTGGGAATGTGGGGAGAGAGGGAAAACAAAGTACAGAGAAAAGGTCAGACAGGGAGCAAGACGTTATGAATGTAAAGGGTAGGCAGGAAAATTGGTGTGTTGAGTGTGAGAAGGAGATAAAGACATAAAAAAGAGAAATTGAGTTGTTAGAGTAACGCAGCATAATCAGTCTACGTTAGCGCTGCACATCTCAAACCCTAAATGGAGAGCGCACTGGCTGCTTTCCGTCCTTGAAAAGTGCCGACCTGGCTCAACAGGTGCACGGCTAATCAATAGCTGTAATAGGCTGATTAAGTCAGAGGGGGAAACATACTGCTCAAGGACTGTTTCTAGCACTCAAAGGTTCACTGCCCTTGATCGTGGCTGTCTTTGTAAAAATAAAAGTTTTCTTTGAGTTGTTTTTTAAAGAAGTTCAATCCACCTCGGTGTTATACTTTCAGGCAAATGGAAAGCTGAGAGCACTTCACAATATTGCAGACAAAGGGGATTGGAGTGTTGTTTTATTTGACTCATGCATGGTAATAATAGCTCAATGTTACAAAGCAGAGAAATGACTGTAACAGAACTATTAGTGATTCAAGGACTATATTACTTAAACTAACAAATAAGGAATCACTAAATGGGTTTTACAAGACATTCATTTTTTCCATAGACCATATTCAGTGACTGGCAGTTGGAACACTTCCAAGGCTTGGATCAACATGAAACTCTCCAGGTTGAAAAAATGATCAGCAGCGTTATCTTAATATCTAATTGTTCCGATTTTAAAAAAATCAAAGGGTCCTGATAGCTCATCTGGTAGAACTGGTACCAAGGCTGACTCCTTGCTGCAGCGTGCCTTGGCTGTGTGTTATTCAGCTATCACTATTGATTAAATGCAATAAAAGCCCCCAGAAATACTTCAAAAATAAAAAGCTACAAGCCTGTGCACATAAAAAACATGGGATGGGAACGAATGACTCCCAAGGTGCATTTTGATAAAAAAATAAAACCACAGAGCTTAAAATTTTGTTACCTGTGAAGCTAATACAGGCAAAAGCTATAAAGTATGCTCATAATACAAACTGCAGCTTAAATAAAATCCTTTCAGATGTACACCTTAGACAGGTTTCAACGGACGCCAAGGCTCATGGGTATTGTAGTATAGTATAATATAGTGTAGAACAAGCCCTCGAGGCAAACTGACTGAAACTAATGTTGCCATATTAGCTGTTCTTTGAGACTATTTAATCAAAGTGTGGGTGATTTGAGCTTAATGCTAAAGGTTCACAGTGAAAATGCTTTCATGCTGAGCTTCAGTAGGTTTAATGAGGACCAATCTTAAGTTTCACCATCTTAGTATAGCATGTTAGCATGCTAACGTCAGCTAATTAGCACTAAACACAAAGTACTGCTGAGGCTGATGGGAATGTCATTAGTTTTGAAGGTATTTGGACATAAACCAAATAAAAATATCAAAATGTCTAAAAGAAAAATGACCTGATGATGGAGTTAGAGGAAAACTCAGGGCTTTACAGTTTATCCTGAGGGGAAAATATCTGCCTGTCCCAAATATCATAGCAATCCATCCAACAGTTGTTGAGACATTTCACTCAAAACTACAGATGTATACCTCATGGGGACAATTAATGAAAAGCCAGAGGATTGCCATTGTCAGTAGGATTCACCCTTTGAGGAACATGGATGACTGTACAAAATCTTAAACGCAATCTATCCAACAGTTGTTGAGATATTTCAGTCCGGACTAAAGTTGTGGGCCAATGGATGACATTGAAATACCTAGCTTGCATGATTTCTGTGAAACAAACTTTAAATAATTAAAATTGGTGGCCAAAACAAACATCCATTGGATAATATTTATCCAGGAAGGTCCCGTGTTTATATGTGGAGTAACACATGGACAACATTAAAAGGGAAAAAATTGAGATGGTTGGATGGGGTGAAATTAAGGTTCAATTAATGTATAAACATATTTTGAAAAAGTTTAGATCTTCCTACCAAACACTCGTTCATCGTTGATGTTCTTTATACAGAACCAGAGGCCTGCTGGGAATGTGCAGACCAGGATGTGGAGGTCGAAGAAGAAAGAGACCCACGTCGTCGGCTGGTGCTCTGACACCGACGCTATGATTGGGATGTGGATCTTAGCATAGCTGGGGATAGAGAGGGGGAGGGTGGAGGGAGGATGACAAAAGGGGGGGGAGGGAGAGACAGGCAGGATGTAATTCATGTTGGGCTGAGCACGATGGGAGTGTTGAGACAAATTATACAACAGATCCTCCTGATTAACTCCAGAATTATGAGAAAAAGAAGATAATTTCCCTCCCCAGCATGTTCATGGTAAAATATGAACAAATGCAGCATTAGAGATGACTAATGTTCTTTTTTTGCTGTTAGTTTTTCTGATCTGTGTGTTCCCTCTTTATTCATTATGGGCTTTTACACAGCAGTTTTTATATGATTTTAAATATTTCTCTCTAAAGTGTTTTGTGATCACAGCTGGGAAAGAGAAAACACACAGCACATTAAGGAATTAGTATCAGCCTCCAGAGGAAAAAAGAAGAAAAAAAATCTCCCATACTGCTTTAGTCAGCAAACAGGGGGGAAGAATTGATTGGGTGTGCTGAAATATCAAACACGTTGCAGTGCATTTGGAGAACACAGGGTGCCCGTTGCTATTTGGAAGTAAGACAATAGTTCAACACACAGCCAGTGCTGTACTGTTTTTTCCCTCTGGGATTGTGCAGGGGGGGGGTTTATAGCCATCTTAGAAAACACACACATGCACTCGATTGAACAAGTGTTCCATCGACAGCAAGGGTGTGAAGGTCAGCAGAGCTTACCCGGTGTCCCAGAGAGAGTAGAAACGACCACTCCACGGAGCAATATATCCTGGAGAAAGAAAAGACGATCAATAAAGACATATATAATGCTTTTCTTTAAATACTATCCATTTGAGCATGGAATACAAGGACTGTGGGAGGCCTGCAGGAAGTTTGTTGAATTGCGTTATTGTAAAGATAAGCAAGATAGAGTCGTTAATAATGGGAAAATACATTAAAACAACTTGAGAATACTTGAATATAGATTGTCCTTTGTTACCACGGAATGTAATTATTTATATGGAAAACTCAACTCAACTTTAAATAAATAATATGGTTATCACTATCCGACCCACAGGGCTGGATTAAAGTATAGAAAAGATTGCCTGAGGACAATGCAATAAAATATACTGCTATAATGTGATAAGGTGAATCTACTTATTCGAAGCCTGTTGGTTTATGATCTTATGAATTTCTATAACAAATATTCATGACTACATAAGCAACAATAAAGACAAAGTTCAGAATAAATGCAAATCCTTAATTTTTATTTATTAAGAGTTTAAAAAGTGTAGTTTGACCACTAGGAGCCCAATGAGGTCACATTTTAGTCTGTTTTGTTTGTGTGTAAAAAATACTCAGAAGGTGATCAGATAAACCATCTGCTAACACTGTCTATCACAGGTGAACTTTAACCAGTTGGATCAACAAACAGTCAAATTTCCTGACTACTTCAACAAACATTCTTTGCTCTTCGTTCAATGACAAAATACTCTCTAGTTCCGATATAATTGATACACTGATATAACTCTAATGTGAAATAACCAAATCTGTTCTAACATAAACAAAAAATCCTATATAGACAGAAGCTGACAGAGAAAATAGGTTTTCAAGGCATTTAATAACATCCATATGAAGTCCAGCAACTAAACTGTATGAACAATCTGCCAACTGTGGTTCAAAACCAAGAACAACCCAATGCTGAAAAGTACCATCAGTAGAATACATTAATTACTGGAATTGACTTGTTTACAAATGTAACTGAAACCATTTAAGCTGCAAATTAGAGCGCACAGGGTATTTTATGTACGCATGCAAATGTCTTATTTTGGTGAAGCTTTGATCTGGAATACATTTCAGCTCTGAACTGCTGCCTGAGGGCTCTCACTCACACACTCACATGTGCGCAGACAACACAAAAAAAAGCAGTAGCCCCATTTTTTGTTTTAATTTTGTGACGTTTGCACCAACATATAGCTGTACAATGTCCTTTAAGAGATTCTGCAATATAGTAATAATGATACCATATGGCCACTGTAAAAAAAAATGGACCTTTTAAATAAGATATTACAAAGCACTGAACCAAAGCAAGCAAGCAAAAGATGTGAAAAAGCAGTAAAAGTTAGATGAAGGAGATATTTTGAGAGGTGATTTAAAGGATGACACTGATTTAACCAATCAATACTTGGCTCTGTGTTCAAGATACTGAGGAAAACCACCCGTTGCAGAGATTGTTATGAGATGAAAAAGTCTAACAGACCAGAGAAAGACATGCGCAGTTTCACAGCAAAACTGGCACATCACCAAACAGCCACAGACTCCGACTGCTTAATTCAGATGGCTGACATCATAACGTTTACCAGACATACAGTTGAAGCAAGGATCCTCACGAGACTGGACTTCTGCATCCTCATGAGAGGCCAATCAGTTCTAAAGCAGGCAGGCAACCAATCTAAGGATGGTAATATTACTGTAGATGTAATATACCACCATCTCTCTGCACCGGGCAAAAGGACTGGCTGCAGTGTTTAAATAATCTGCAGCAACAGAATGTCAGTTTGTTGGTTAACACAAGTAAATAATCTCCTACCGTAACCAAGGTGAAAACCAATATATGAGGTCAGGTTAAAAGCGGTCACACTTTATTAAGGCTCATTATACACTGTAGAAAAGGTGTGCATACAGAAAAGTGGATAAGTGAGCTCTCCTCTGACATAGTAAACCAAGTATATTACTGTAGCTTTCTTGGGACCGGTCTGAGGGAAGAAACCACTAGAAAGAGAAGCAAAGCCAGTGTGATGCTGTAAAAAGTTGTTTAAAATGGCTTTTGAGGTGTAACGTGCACCACATTTTTTAATCTCTTGGTGCTTTCAAAATAAGATGGTAAAATATGTTTCTTATAAATAAGTCAAGATTCTGAATATGCCATCTTAAATCTGAACACTTTAGCAGGAGACAAAGTCAATGAACAGCAAGAAGGCAACATTAGAAAAGGTCTGAAACCATAAGGCCTCCACTGGGGCCACAAACCCCGTCGGAGCAGAAAATAATGGAGAAAAACATTAATAAGAACAAAGTTCAACTATCTGGCTGTGCGCATCAGGGTTCAACCAGGACAGTCAAACAACACATACAGTATACAAGTTCACTAAAAGGCACTCGGGTAGAGCACAATCCTCCACCAACGCTCAACTGTTCGCCAACAAACAGCAACATTCATATCGGTTTATATTTGTTGATCATTTGCCTTCCAGGTTTAAACCAAATGCTGATTAGCAGCCCACTGGGGAGGCCTGGAGGTCAGACCATCAGGGGATAGTGTATGAACATATTGTAACTTTTGGCAAAAAAAGAAAACAAAATCTAAAATGGCTCAAATCCCAGATCTGGATCGCCATCAAAATCTAGTCAACTGATCCCTGCACAAAAGGCTATTTGTCCACCAAATCTCAGCCCAATTTCTAACATACTGTGCTAATAAACAGGCAAACAGATGGGGGTGAAAAGAAATTCACCATCTTCTATTTTAGTATTGTTGTATAAAACTCCTATTAGGAAGTGATACAAGTTATATTTTGTGATATTGAAACTAATACTCAAGTCTGCACCAGGAAAAAAAAAACAAGGAGAAGGACTAGATGTAGGTTTTTGTTGACAGTAGCTTGCCGTAAGATTCATACATCAGTATTGGAAGCCAATCTGATCGCTTATCTTCAACAAATTTACTACGTGTCATTTTTGTTGCGTCTGATTTCCAAGTGCAACTACACAACACAAAAGGTAGTCTCAATTTAAGTTAGTCTCACAAAATGTTATATTTGTTAGTGCACATTTCTTTTATTGATAAACTAAACAAATTTATATACCAACCATATGCAAATGTATTGGTGGGCTTGGCTTACAATTACATTTTCACTGAAAGCTGTTTATGGATACAGCTGGGGTGATAAATCTTGATACTAATGGGAAAATAAGGCATGCAGCCAGGTAAACTATAATAAAATTTGCAAAAGACTATAATTTTAACATATTAACTGCAAGACATTCAGTAGTAGAGCGTTCATTGCTACAGGATGGCTTTTCAAATTATTGTATGTTGTTTATGTATATGTATATGTATATGTAAAAGCAATTACAAGCAGGGCTACAACTAATGATAATTATTTTAATAAATAAATCTGTTGATTTTTTTTTCTCAATTAGGTTCAGAAATGTTTGACACAATTTCCCAGAGCCCAAGGTGATGTCTTCAGTTCATTTATTTTGTCTGACCAACAGTCTAAAACGTGAAGACATTCAATCGACAAGGACACAAAATAGAGAAAAGCAGCAAATCTTCAAAACTGTGAAGCTGAAACCTAAAAACTACTGCAGTTTTTGCTTAATTGACCAAATTGATTATTATGCTCCAAGAAGTATTCTGTCAAACATCAATTAATGCATTAATTGTTTCACCTGTACTTGGGACGTCGGTTAAATGGTTTATAAGGAACCATTCTGACTAAATATCACTGTGAAAGCATGTGAGCAGACATACATACCTGTGTATGTGAGATAAATTACGGTGAGGAAGACCACGCCGGCAGCAAGAGAGACCCCGAGGAAGAACAGCGTCTGGAACTCTTGTCTGGTCAGCCTGTCTTTCAGGTACTGCAGGAAGGCGTAGGCTTGGAGCAGTGCAAACACACCTGAGAAAAAGCCACAGACAAAAAACAAAAGAATGATGAAACCTACAAAAGGAATCTTGGACTGAATATTTGAGGAGGCCCTGATTCATGCTGCCTCATGCAGGGTGCAAAGCAGGTTTTACTTAGTTAAGAAGCACTGTTGTCAGTTTGGCAGAATTCTCGACAAAGCAGTTCACGATAGCCCCCTTTGACTGTTCATGCAGATGTGAAAGACAAATACTGTGGGACAACATATTTCAAATTCATGAGACAGATTTGTGTGAATAGGCTCTTCTCTTTCCCTAGCCTGGTCTTTCTTTTTGCCGCCCCCTTCGATCACACTTTTTTCCTCCATTCCTTTGCTCTGTCACTTTCTCAGTGGCATTTCTCCAGTGTGTCTCCTTGTTTGTACGGTGAATTTGACATAAAAAATTGAAAAGAGGTCTGGTTTCCCTCCCTTTCGTCACCTCCCATTCCTTTGACAAACCTTGTGTGATATTGCCCTACTCCTCCGGTAGCCCACAACCGCCCACAGCAGGTCTCACCCATTTCCAAGGTTAAGCCCCTGCCTGCCTCCTGGAGAGCCGCCATAGTGCTAACATGCTTGTCACTCTATGCCACCCTGCCTGCCTGCCTCAGGGGCTGACATCTCAAGGGTACCGACCATGGCTCTGTCACTCGCTTCCTCTTTCCCACTGTGCTCCCTGAATGTTACCACCAGATGTTCTGAGCAGCTGCTACCCTTGCGACATGAAAACAAACTTGCTCTTTGAGAGATAGAGAGAGGGGGGAGCCAAAAACAGAGAGGCAGGGATGATATTTTGTGGTGGTGCATTCTTCAAAGCCACTCATAATGCTGTTTGTGTTGTAGACACCGAGGAAAACAGGGACATAACGTACGCCTGCTGCAGTGTTAAGAGAATTTTCAAAAAAGGTGCTGCTCAGTTCTTCCTAAAGCTGCCAACAACAGTCCTCTCCCAATCTGGATGTAAATGAACACAAGAATCATCCACATACATATGTACCCAACCGTGCTGTCGGGCAGCAGATGGGCCCACTCTTGAGAGGGGAAAGTGAACAAGCTTTAATAAACTACCCACAAGCCAAAAATGAAAATTACTTAAAGTGCTAAACCCATATGGGTAGCATGTGAAGCCACTTATTTTTTATTTTGTAAATGTATTCTGAGGAGGTCCTGTGTTCTTCTTGACTAACACCATCAGCATCAGAAGGGATTCAATTCCCACTGCAGCCAACCAATCTTATAATGTGTGCATGCACGGTAATATAAGGTGCTCTGGATAACAAGTGAGTGTCTTATGTAAAGTCACACCGTTAATACATGAACAACAGCAGTCAGCCTGACCCTGTCCCTCTGTGTTTTGCAGCATGAATTTGTTGGTAGGGTCAGGATGGCAAGTTGACATGAAAGTTCTGAAATAAAATCTCTGCATTGAATCAATGTGTCCTTGTATATAGTGTTAGAATGTAAACAGTTATGTTGCAATTCAAGGTATACATTATAACATTTATAAGTCAGCAACAACAAGTCAGTTTTTTTTTTTTTTTGCCTTTTCGGCCAGTTGTCAGCAGCTGTAACCACTGACATATTATCACCTAACTAAAAGGATATTCTAAATGTCTTTGCAAACAAGTTGCCCATTTAGACATAAGATCATTACATAAGACTCATTTGGATTCATGTTTCTTGCCATGATAATTACGTTCACCAACTAGTGGCTCACTTTGTTAGCGCCAGGTAGAGTAGGAGGAAATGAGGCTGATGAGTGGCTGAGGGCCATGCTATTGCGTCACTGACATTTAGTGAGAGACTATTGATAGACTCATAACTTCAGGCAGCGACATTTTCCAAGAAATGCTGACTTTATCATAGCACTCTGAATGGCATTCACTGTGAAACTTTCTAGAAGGGAACTTGTTCTTCCAAGAAGAATACAGGATCAGTCAGCCTGAAGGTAAAGAGGGTGGGACTTACCAGCAGCAGCCATGTGCTCGCTGGTCCTGATTGGCTGGAAGCCGACAAAAGGGATCTGCATCGACAGTATGAGACCCACAATGTAGAAAGTGCTGTAAGCTGTAAAGAAAGAAGAAATGGGAAGAGAGAGTGAGAGAGACTGGATAAGAAATCAACAATCAATCAATTCATTCAATAAACTATTGCACTTCTCAAAACCTTTGATTCTGTTCAATCAGTCCTGTTTGGGTTCCACTAAGGAAAATTAACCTCAATAGGGGTATTTAAAGTCTATTGATTTTCACTGCCACACCTCAGAGGGAGTAAACACAAAATACCTAATCTAATGTCATTTACTGAGAAAATGGGAGCTGGCTCTGCGCAGTGTGGAAGGGAGGCCTGGAGTGAGACGACGGTGCAGAGAACAGTGCGACTCCCACCTTTGTAGCTGGGGGGGAACCGATTCACAGACGCACCAGTTTAATTAAGATTTCATACTCTTCCTGAAGAGTGTGCCTCATTTTTGAAATAGTTGTGACCGCCCTCAGCAATCTCTTTCTCACACATCTGCTATTGACTCAACACAGAGAGAGATGAATTGTGAGGGAACACAGACTGCGAGGCATTTTATTAAAGATTTTTTTTCCCTTTTTCCATGACATCTGGCTCTGAAAACAGGATGTAAAGAGGAAGGAAGGTGAGGAATATAGGAGGCGGTTGAAGACCTTGTCTTTTCTGTCAGCAGAATATGTCTACAAATATATTCCTGTCTCTCATTTGCTACCAAAAGGTGCATGAGGTTGCTGGATGACGTTCTGGTCGCACATATCCTTGAGGAACAATGAAGAGGAAAGGACTTTATCTCCTTCATCTAACAGCATCGTCGAGTAGGACTTCATCGTTGAAGAACCATTTGGAGACAGAGCAGACGTAGGTCAAATCCCTCTCACTGTAAAGAGGTAATAATTTTTTTCCAAAGCTCTCAGAGAATATGCTTTGCAGTTACAATGAGTATGACATATAATCATGTGTAAATGATACTTGACATGGTATCATTTTTCTTTACCACAACAGAAGTGCCTAACGCAAGCTCATGGCTAAGCTGGCGACGGATGTGTGAATATCTGGAGGCGGGACTGACGGACTAAGCTAGAGTTCTCTTAGCTGATGGATAATGTGCTGGAGCTGCCACGTGCTCTGTGAAACTGGGGTGTTCTGTGGAATAACAAGCGTATCCTCTTTCCCAGCGCTCTGCCTCTGGTATTTGCAGAAAAAAAAAATATATAAAAGAGGATCAGGTAGCAGGTGGCTGCATTTACTGTTAAGTGGTGTGTGGGTGTTGATGTCTGCACTGCCGATGATGGAATGCTTACGGTTGTGAGAGATGAGCACAGGCGTGACTGGGCATTTGAGCTTGTTTCAGGGTTAAATGTTTGGGCAACAATGCTGGGAGATGCACAGGACATCTGTTTATTGCATACATTTCTATTCTAATGGGAAAGGATCTGAAAAGTCAGTCAGTTTCCATTTCAGTTACTTTACGCGGGGGAGTTTTAAACATCAAGTGACAAGCAAGTAAACCAGACAATAACTCTGAGTGTGAGTGTGTGTGTGTGTGCACGTACGTGCGTGCGTAAACCTTACCGATGTAGACTCTTCTGCTGTAGCGTTGCATCAGCAGCAGCACAAACACATGCAGAGGAATCAGGTTGATAATAAACACATAACCTCCCCATGCTGACACCTAGAACAGACAAACACATAAAACATGTCAGTCAGCCTACAATACTCACAATCCTTTCTCTGAAACATTCTACTTCATTCTGAAATAACCGGCACATAAATCAGTTTTAAACATTGTGTTTTTCTTTTTCAAATGAGCTAACGTTGCTAAATGCAGGCTTTCCTGCTATAATGCTACAAATTAGCTTTGCAGGTTTCCTCAGTGACTGGAGTAACTCGAAACTAACACCAGTTGAGACATGAAAGGTTTCCTATATTGTCACTGTCCAATGAAGACCATGTATTTCCATATTTCATTCATTTATTTTAGATAACTAAAGGATTAAGTGTTCCTTTTGTGTTGAGAACACCTCCGTCCTCCTACTTCTTAAGCTAAAAAAAAACAAAGAAAAAACAAATTTTAAAACCAATTGGCTTATTAGAAAAATGCATGTTACAAAATGTTGCCGTTTTGGAAATACACGGTTATCACAGAACAGCGACAATATGTCGAATTTGTTCGGTCAGCAAACCCAAACAAGCAAACCATGTATGAAGGTTTTTGTTGTATTTATTATTTCTTGCTTTCAAAAGGTCTGTATGGAAATGAAATTCTGTCTGCCACAATGGCGCATTCATGTGTGATGGCAAGTAACTGTAGCTTTTAAATTCAGTGCTGTTTGCATCCCCCCCATTCTCCCAAAGGGTCGACCACCGCAATGAATGTTTAACCTCTGGCAACACTGAATATGTTTACTGGAGTCAGTCTCTAATTTTACCTCTTAGCTTCAAATTATATCACTGCCTTCGAAGAACAGAATTCATACATATAAGGACAGCAACTTATTTTTTATTATTGGTTACTTTGTGAATTAATCAATTAATTGTCTAGTCAAAGAAATAGGCAAAACCCAAAAACCCAACAGTCCAAATCCAAAGAAATTTAGATTACAGTTACATAAAATAGAGAGAAGAGCAGGATATCTCAGTTTTGAGAAGGTTAACCCACCACATATTAATATATACAGTTTTTGTTGATAAGCTGGTTGACTAATCAACTAATCCTTACAGCTCCAATAAAGGGTAAATAAATAAAAACAAAAACTGAATATTTAACTCTTTCAAACTTTTTCAAGAACTTGAATTAAATAAAAAGTGAATCAATCGATACACACAAGCAGCCCTTCTTCCATGCCAGCACCCCTGCACAAAGATCACCTCGTACACCTTGAATAGAATCATTAAAGAATGGTTGTAAAAACTTCTTACTGCCTCTTCACCATTAGACACAAGCACACAGGTATAAAAACTGACTTATACAGAATCTATAAAAACTAGGCAATCATACTTTACATGTTGGATGTAAAATGTGAGAGGCACCAATAACTTTAAAAGCTCCACTAAAATTATACCTTAACTGTTTTTGAGGTCCGCTAAGTATCTCAATGCTGGATGTGAGGGCAATAAAAGGACTCTACAAAAACATCACTGACAAGTTTTCTATTGCCTATACTTGACTACAGCAAAGGGCAAATGGAAACGGTGAGAGCACTAGACAGACAGAAGAGCATAGCGAAAGAGAGAAAGAATACAGAAAAAGCAAGAGTGTTCAGAGAAAGAAAGCGAGACAGAGGAAAAGGAGAGTTGTAAAGTGTAGGAAAGTGAAACAGAAACTGAACAGAGTGAGAGTGAATTAAACAGAAGAAGGGGTTGCATATACGCAAATTGTTTGATCCTTTCACAGCAGCTTGTCAGAAAGAGCCCCATTGCACCTGCTAAGGACGATAAAAAGAGCATTCATTACACTTACGCAATCACAGGAAAAGGGAGCATGTCATGTCTAATTGATAAAAGCATTAATAAGCTACGTTAAGGGAGAGAGTGAAAGAAAAGTCCCTAAATACGTTCCTTGCTGAATAGTTAGGTGCAATTATCTTTTGGCAGTCGTTTTGCATCTGTGTTCAGACGGTGACAGCAAATTAGTAGCGTATGAACCGTAACTTGAATATACACCAGAAATTACTTCAATTTAATACTTTTTTTTTTCCAGTGGGCATTTGAGTGAGTTTCTGTTGCTGACTGGCTGGGAACTAATTGAAAACACAACACACAAAACAGTGTACAGGGCTACTGGCTCTGTAGCTGTAATACTTAATATGACACGTGTTGACACATGTTTAGTGAGGATATACGATATAGTCAAGGTACTTAATGTACCTTCAAAAAGATATGCTCTATCGGCAACTGAAAAACTGTCACAAAATACCACCAACCACATCAGTGTCTCTCAGGGTAAACCTAATAAAGAAAAAACTCTTTAAAATATTGATCCTTTTGAGTTAGACTCCCTGGTATCGTGAGGTACATTATTGACTCAGAGAGTAAAAGTCAACATTATTTTTCAGGCTTGTTTTTCTCTTTGGATACTTAGCTGGGCATAAGTGTAGGAGGCTTAATGCCATGTCAGAGGGATGGAAGAAAATTTCCCATGGTCACTATTTGTGTTGTAAGTGTTCAGGTCAACTCGAAATGACAGATACATAATTTGCAGAGTTTACCATGTGGGATTAAAAAAAAGAAACAAAACAAAACAAAATTATACCAGTGAGTCAATGAAGGGCTTCAGCTTACGTGCGGCATCCTTGTTTGTTTGGTAGTGAGTGTTATTTAGCACGTTAAATTAAATTAATATTTTTCTAAACAAAACTAAGGCTACAGTCACACTGCAAGCCTTGCTGCTCAATTCTAATTTATTTTCTCAGATCCAATTTTTTTTGTTTTGCTGTTCACATTACTTTTTAAATGTGGCCCTCATCAGATTCCAGTATAAACAGGTTACAGTTCCAGACTGACTTGAGTACCGAATGCTGATCGAGAGTGACGTAAAAGTTGCACGAACTCTGATAAAGCTGAACTAAGAGTATACAGCTTGCTGACGCTGTAAAGCAGTGCTTTGAGCTAAATGCTAACGTCAGCATGCTAACATGCTCACAATTACAATGCTGACATGTTGATGTTGGTATAATGTTTGGACAGTAATAATTTTGACATGAGGGCACTAGAGGACAGGTCAGTAAGATCCATTGCCTTGCCAACATGGATATCTGTACCAGTGTTGTACCAATCCACCCATCAGATGTTGAGATACTGCACAGGTCAAGTGAAAACATTTACACGCTGATGGTGCCAGAGGAAAAGTCAGGGGATTGCCAAAGTTATTAAAAGTCATCCTCTGGGCACCAATGTGTGTGCCAAATTGCCACGGCAATTCAATTCAATTTCATTTATATAGCGCCAAATCATAACAAAAGTTATCTCAGGACAGTGGTTGTTGAAATATTTCACTAAAAACCAAAAGTGTAAACTGAAGGAAAACTCATCTAATAGATGTGGATATTTCAGTCTGGACCAAAGTGGTAGAATGACCAACTACTGCCATTGCCATCCATAGAGCCATGTTGTTAAGATCGCCAAAAATAAGATTACCAGTCAAAATTACCATTTAGATAATTGCCTGAACTATATTCATAAATCAGAGACTGGTAGATTCTATAACTTCAGTATGAAGTGAAGGTGGTATCAGGATCTGTTATACTGCTAAATCTACAATGCAACTTGACTGCATTTACCTCTCGAGTCTTTAGAATGAATGGCCATGCCGGCAGAGTGCACAAACGACTGGAAGAAAATAGAATGGAAGAAACTGGCCATCTGGTCACATTAGAGGATCATGCAAAGATGAAAGTCCATGACAAAAGCTAAAGCTGTGTGTGTCTGTGCTGCTGCAGGAACCAACTCTATTTGAAATTATGGTTCTAATAGCCAGCCCTCTGCCCAAGCCACAGGCTAACAGCTGAGGGCAGGAATTGGAAAATGTTTGGAGCAAAGTCTTTTAGCCGTTATCACTCTCTGCATTTCATACCGGGCTTATCTGATGACCTCAGGGCCACTCTGAAGAGGATATAGAGAACACAGCAAGACGGGGTTTACTCTGTGTGTGCGCACATTTGTATGTGTGTGTATGTGCGCACAAGTGTTTGCAGCTTTCCTATCTACTCTTATTGGGCGTCAGTCTTTTTAATTGTGAAAATAAATATTAATGTTGTTCTGTTTATGTATGCTTACTTACTACTCACTTACTGCACTTTAAGACATGACATTAAAAAAAACAAAGACACTTAATGATCAAGGTCATCAGAAAGAAAGAGCTGCAAGTTTATCACTTTTAATTAAACAAGACTAAAAGGTCTTTCTTTTGTGGAAATCCATTTCAAACGTCAACTTCATGTTGGTGCGACAGGAAAAGTCACAGGATTGCCAATTATGTTTCGTCCTCTCGGGAGCGGGACCGTGGATGTCTGTACACAATTTCAAAGCAATCCATCCAATAGTTGTCGAACTATTTCCGTCTCGACTAAAGTGGTGGGCTGCTAGTACGACTAAAAGGTTAAACAAAGTGACATCTTTTAAACAATCACCTGAGGAGCCTTTTGTTCAGAGCATTTAATCAATACTTGATTAAGCAAAGGAGCTTTTGGCAAGTCCTGATGTTACAGGTAGCTCTGCTAGAGGGGACTGTGGAGGGTTTTTGGGAATGAGCAGTCCAGTTGATTCATGCATTTGCTTGTGCTCTGTCCTCCCTGTTTTTCCCCATCCTCCATCCTCCACCCTCACCCACTCTACCCTCACCCCTGGAGGGATGAAAGGATGATGTTGTGCAGGGAAGCAGAATGCTCCCTGTGGCTCCTGTCCATCAGTAGGTCCTGCTGCTCTGATCCTCCTCTTAATCTCGTCCTTCCCTGTCCTCTCCTCTCTTATTATGCCAATATCCAGGCAGGGGATCTCTCCCTCTCTGTCTCTATATCTGCTTTATGAGTGTCACATTCGATTAAGCCCTATGGGAAAACGTAGCCATGGCTATATCCTGATTAAAGTGTGATGGGGTGGTAAAAAAAAAAAAAAAAAAAAAAGGAGGGGTGGGTCAACGGGTATATGCAGTACTTTGTGTACAAGGTAGAGAGGAGTCATTGGGGTCAGTCGGGAGCTTGGTGGTGTTAATGGAGACATATAAGCCTAGTATGTTACTCGCTGCTAGAGGTCTCATCTCCAACAGTGGCTGGGCTGCAGATATAGTACAGAGGAACTTCATATCACTGAGGAGAGAGGGTGTGAAGGAGAGAAAGTAGAAATAAGGAGAAAGAAGACTCAACGTTCCCATTGCTGCTGACTAAGACAGTGCGGAAGTTACACATCACAATATATTCTCTTTCCTGTCTTATCATTCTGTATTTCTCTCCATCTCTCCATCCCCTCTATCCTTATCTTTCCACACCTCTCTCTGTTCCTTTGTCTCTGTCTATCTCATTCCTCCGTTCTGTCTCCTGTTCTATTCATCTTTCCATCACTCTCCTCTCTCCAGCCCCCACCCTCTGGATGCTGTAGCCCAGTGTGATCGATGAAGCTGGATTTCGGTAATCTGTTTCATTTGATATCTGTCTCACTGCTGGCCACAGAGATTAAGCCTGAAATGAGCAAGAAGCTGGAGATTTTCATAGGCGATCACACTCACTCACACACACACACGCAAACAATCTGTCGCTGAGGCAGTGTGCCTGGATCGTCTTTTTATCTCATCTCTCTCATCAAGCCCCTGATGGGCTTGTGTCTGTCTTCATAAATAATGCAGACAACACTGGCTGAACTTCTCTTCCACTTTCTCCATGCACTGCCATGTCTATGGTGGACAGAGGAAAATCGCCCCGAGACTATCATCTCAGGAGCAGGGTTAATCACCTCTATTCCTAAGGGCAAAGTTTGGACCTCGTATTTTGGTCAGCTTGTATCAACGCACATGAGCAGTGTTTTGGAATTTAGCGTTATTATGTTTTAAAAAAATGGCAGAACAGAGCAAGAGCTAGCACTTTACAAAAGACAGTTGTGATACATTATAATAATTTCATAGTAGGGAGGAAGTCTGTCTTTCCTACAGTACTGTATAGGAATGCAGTGTTTCTGATGTCCACTCTTGTAATCAAAGCACTACAGAATCTGTTAGTGTCAGTGTGTTCAACTTGCGTAGTATATAAAACAGTTATGGACGCAAAAATATAGAATATTTATGCTTTTCTACATTTTACATTTTAAGAAGAATCACCCTTTTTTTGCTTATGGATGATTGAGATTTTTGCTTTGAATAGATTTGTGTCTTCTCTGACTTAAATAATAGGACAAAAAAATGGAAAAAGGTTTTAAAGAACCAGAATCAATAAGCGAAATCTGACACAGAATTGATAAAAAAAATAAATTACACTGAACCCTACTAAGTGATCTTAATCAATCAGAATTTTTGTCTCCAAAAGGCAGTTGGTTGCACAGCAGTGAAACAGAAACACAAGCCCACTACCACAAAGCACAATCACGTAATATATTTACATTAAATAAAAATTAAACAGTGTAAAAGGCATACAAGTTCAAACTGAAAAAAACAACTTAAACTATGAACACAAATATTATCTCTGTATCTGATGATATATTGTATATCACCTTTCACTCAGTTTATTTGAGAGCTAGCAGAGCAGAATAACAAGTGATAGTGTGATCTTGAATTACAATTCCCACCTAAATAAGGGATGATTAGGTCCAATAAGTCTAGGCAATGGTAACCACGTACTCTGGCGTGTCTGTGTCAGTGTTTGTGTGTGGATTATTTTCTTACCATGTAGAAATAGGAGAGACAACAGCCAATGGTCCAGAATACGGAGCCCGTCTTCACCGATTTCACCTACAGGAGCAAACAAGAGATCAGTCACAGCAGTCACATATGCTCCAACATCAAATAAGACATGCAGACCCATAGTTTGTGTTTCCCGGACACTAGCACTGCAGGCTGCACAATTTACGTGATAATGACAAGGTGTTCTTTAGTTACAATATAAAAATCTTCAAACTGGAATCGTGCAGGGTGTCCTCTCTACTAAAACTTCACTCTATTTGTTTAATGGTCCCCCACTGCTGTAACAGTAGAGTCCAATTAAAAGCTTTGTTTACACTGTGATTTATTAGTTTTAAGTGCAAGTTAAAACATGAATTTCAAAACTGTAACTGAAAATGTGTAAAACCAACTTGTATATGACTGGTTAAAAGGAGACAAAAATGCATATTCTGTGTATCTTTAGAAGTAATTTAATGATCACAGCTTAATGATCATAGCAGACATGGAACAGCCAGCTGTGGTGAGAGAGGATAAGAGGAAAGCGGTTCAGACTAGACCAACAGAAACATTGTGTAAACAAGCTCTCCTTCCCCCGCCAGAGGCCGATAAAGCAGGCAAGGGTACACATTAACATTTAAAAACACAGACAATTAAAAACTCTCTCTCTCTCACACAGACACAGACACACACAGACACAGAGTAGCAGTGACAAAGGGGGATATGGGTGGTTGTCAAGAAGCTTGATGGCATCCAACAATACTTGAGATTTGCTGATTAGGAGGAATCAATGATTTCTGGACCAAGGTGGTCTCGCCCAAATACCCGGTAGAGCATCACCAACAGACCCCTAGATAAGCCACCTATCAATCAGAGACACTTACAAAAGCGTATCCAAGATGTAGAATAGGATTTTGTTTTCTCATACAATGAAGGAAAAAGATACATTTTATGAGACTGAAATATCACAAGCTCATTAAAATAGGTTGCAATTCCTTTTATCTATTACGGAATGTTTTCTGACTCGTTTTCAGGCTTGCACACAGAAAACTGAACAGGAATCAATAAGGGAATTGATAAAGAATTGGACCGATAAGCAGAATCAATAATGGAATTAGTATCAATAAAATCTCATCAATTCCCATCCCTATTTAATACTGTTGCAGACACCAGCCCTTTACTTTTTTAACACTCTTTTTACTGGTATTGAACAGATCAAAAATACAAACAAACAAAACAGTTCCCACCCAACCCACAACCAACCCTCCTCGATATCCTCTTGTGTTTACAAAAAAAGAGAAAGAATTTTTAAGACAGACATCAGTCCATTTCTTACTGTAAAAACTGAGACATTTAAAGAGAAGACGGAGACATTAAAGTACTGTCTGTGTTAATTATTAAATTACAGCTAAATAATTAATGGTAAATTATACTAAATTAAAAATACTAAGCCCACTGGGGATACAAGTCACATGGTTCCCCCGACAACACAGATATCATGTCTGTTACAGAATCAGTTCCTGTCATTTTAGTGGAGCCTCATACAACAGTCCTGCAATAAATCCTACATTCATGCTGTAATCTATGGTGCTAATGAAATGAGGTTTTTCTAATATTTAATACCCTCACATGTAAATGGTGTGGACAAAATATTAGAAACACCTCTCGGTATAATGCAATACAATCCAACAGCACCACAAACTGCAGTCTACAAAATGATCATTTGGTTAAATCAGTATCTCTCTGAAAAATCAGTCAAGAAGTTAGGATTCATTGCAGAGCTGTATAATTGTTATTAGTTTCACCTCGGTGTAAACTAGCAACAGAATGTATATTGCCACAGGCAAAGCCACCAAAACACTTTCCTCATAAATGGCTCCATGTTGAGTCTTTGCTTCTTTTGTGAAAACAAGTACAATGACAGATTAGGATGACAACAAGTTACTGTACAAGCTGTTGTATTCTCCTCATACAATATTTCCACTCATGCTGGCCCAAAGCTAGCGTGTAGCCTTGTGCTTTCTATTCAGCATGTATAAGCCATGTTCAACTGGTGCCTCAAACCCCTCTCACAACTGCCCTCCCAGACGCCACTCTCTTTGTGGAGACACAGAAGTCACACATTGTGATAACAATTCCAGCTAATTAAATGTGAGCAGAGAGAAAGAGTGGAATTTCTGTTACAACAATGTAGGCATGATGCACGGGGTTAGAGCAAGGGAGGGAGGCAGTGCAATGTGTGTCTGTGTCTGCGCGCGTGTGTGTATTCATGTTACGAAGAGCTATGGTGTTAAAAAGAGCAGCTCTCCTGGGTGTGAGAGGATTCAATTATAGATTATGGGAGTGTGTGTGTGTGTGTGTGTGTGTGTGTGTGTGTGTGTGTGTGTGTGTGTGTGTGTGTGTGTGTGTGTGCGCATGTGCACGTGTTGGGAGGGGGGGTAAACACAGAGATTAAGCGAGTCAAGTTGAATGGGTTATTAGTGGATAAAATGAAGGAGTCGGATAATGAAGATTGGGTTGAGACTTGAGAACGGCTTTGTGCATTTTTGTCATGTGGAGGAGACGACATGGGTAAAGAGACAAGGAAGAGAGTGCAAGACAGGAATGAGCAATAACGAGATATAGGAAGAGAAAGCAAGGCGGGATGAACAAGAAAGAAGAGACGGAAAGCAGAACATGGCAAGTACAGAAACAATGGCAGGGACAAAAGAAGACAAAGACAATTAAAGGCAGATGGGATGGAAGAAAGACAGAGAGGAGGAAAGGAAAACGCAAAGACAAATGTGTGTAAATGAGACTGATAATGGGAAGCAGTGGTGCATGGCCAGGATGATTGTTTTTCAGGGCCCTTGCCAAATAGAACAGAGGACGTGAGAGGTGGTAGTTGAGTGGAGGGGGGATTCTTTTCGATGGCACTGCTTCGCTGATGACACATCACCTTAAGAGGCAGTGATGGCTGCTGCGAGGAACACCTGCCTCACCTGGATACGTATTGATTATACGGACGAGATGACAAGAGGCCATTATAATGGCGCAGAGACAAAAGATGTCCCCTTTTACACATTCCCCGGTGTGAGACAAATGGTTATGGTGACAGTTTTTGGATGACTCCTGAAAAGTGAAATGGTGAATTTTGAAGTCTTGCAGAATTAAATAATCAATTCAGATGGACGCAGAAGGAAATCTACAATGACAGCCCCCGGGGTTGTATGCCTCCGCCAACCAGTTAATATCCATGTCTGTCCAGACTCATATAATAGATGTAGTTTAGACTTTGAAGGGATTTAGTAAAAGGTATTGTGTATTCATTTTTCCTTATTTAGATTAGACTGAATTGTTGCAGTGCTCTTAGGGAGCTCCAGGGTAACAGCCTGTGACAGTTCTAAGGCAATAAGTTAAACTGTGACTACACTACGCAGGTCAGCCTACAAGGTTGAGCACACACCATATCGCAGTTCCACTTTGTTATAGAAGAGGTTGAGAAATAAATCCAAACAGACTGTCTCCTTATAATGTGTTGTACCTGACTATGAGTGTCATTCAGTGTGATTTAGGATAGCTTAGATAAGTATAGTTACTTGTTTTGAATAAATACCCAGTTGGATCCTCACACATATTTAGCTGGGTAAGTTATGGCCATATTTGGGACACTATTAGGTCTTGTGGGTAAATATCGCCCGCCAGGAAGTAACCTTCAGAACTGGGTTGGCACCTACACAGTGACTCCACTTGTACGGCTGATCTATATCCTCCTCGATTGAGCTTCTATAAATACTGCTGTGTAAGACATCAAGTTCTCCTGAGAACTTCTTCAATTACAAGTGAATCATCCATCACAAGATTTCCTTCTCAAGTATAAAGTGTATTTTCTGGCTAAATGCTTTCGTTTTCTCCCGGCATTTTTAGATGCAAAGCCTCTCTAAGAGTTCACTCACAGGATCATGATTAGCTAGGCATGCTCCAATGTGTTTTCTGAAAGGCAGAATGGATGAGATGGAGAGATAAAAGCCTCTACTGTGCTAGTTACTGTTAATTAATCGTGTCGTCTCAGTCAACCTGGTGTGACATCTGGAATCTCTCAATTCATTCTTAACTTATGAATAAAAACCTATTTTGGAGGTTACAATGAAGTTGACCTTTTGACGATTACCGGCACGGAGGCAGAAAAATGCACTGGATAGGACCTGACTGGAAGGATAATGATAGTGCCAAATGTCCTATAAAAAGGTTTTGCAATGTAGTACCTGCTGTGAAATAAGAAACCTATCTACATAAAGAGGCTGACAAACATAATTCATTATGATTTGAGTATCATCACTGACCCTCCACTCTTTTTCTTTTTAATTCAAAAAAGTGTACATCATTTTTGAGTAGGAGTAATCATTTTAAATCTAAGTATAAAGTTATATTTCGTGATGCAGTTTGTCCTGATTTCAGTGCAGAGACAAAGTTCACCTGAAGTTCACCTTTTACTCAGTTCACTTATCTGCAGCTCTGTGCAGAGTTTGAAGTCTGAGTAGCCCAACTTTCTCAATATCCCTCATCTCAACAACGTTCTGTGACTTTCCTTTATTTCCTAGCTCTTACAGTGAAAATTTCTGTGTTATTATCAAAGAAAGTTGTCTTAACTGATGTCTCCTCTTGTTTTGGTGTGGTCGTTGAATTACCCTTTTTCTTTCGCCTAAATGTTCAATATGTGCCCCTCTCTGACTTTAGAGACAAAATCTGTGCACGTGGACGGAAATGATCATTATATGTGGGGTGTTAATCCTTGTTGGTCCCAATAATCTTAAAATGTATTCCTAGATTCTCTGCAATTTAATTATGTGTGGTTTGTGTTTTTCTGTAGATGTACTGCAATAAAAGCCTATATACATGTGTGCATAATGTACATTTCCTAAGTACGTTTGACTCCCAAATATGCACTGTACGTTCGAGGATGTCAACTCTCGCAGTGACACCATCATCTGTTTGGTTTCACTCTACTGAGCCAGTACACATACACAGAGCCAGTAGTAGTGTAATGGGACTTAAACTGTAGACACAACAGGCATGCTCAGCCGGCCACCTGGACACTAAACTCTAGGTCATTGTCAGATCAGTGACAGTGAGAGTTCAAAAAAGGGCCACCGAGCTGCCTGCAAGCACTCAAGCATAGTGACTCACACTACCTTCAAACCACATGTAGAGCTGCATTCATGCACGATTTGACAAAATGACATATACTGGGATGTCTGAATCCTTGGACAGATAAAAAGGTCCTTTCCAGCCCGACGGCAACTATACTGCCAAGCTTGTTTGCCGTGACAAACAGCAGCGAGGCCTGGCATGATGAAATACCTGCATCACTACTTTTACCTGGATGAAAGCCTCCACTGCGTAACATGTCTTTACGCTTGAGAGTTAAGGGAGATCAACGCCTTGAAGGTAAAATAAAAATTGGACAAATAGCCTACGAGCAACTATAACCACTCGCCTGGGGCATGCATAATGAAAGCTCTTCTCTGTTCACTTACTGAAATACCCTTGGATGAGGACAGTTATACCGGTTTTCCTCCTCACCAGCCTGTCTAATGTGTGGTGCTGTTGCCATTCAGCAACTTTGTGCCTCTGTGGGACTTTTCCATTGAGAATTGAAATGACAGAAATTTAAAATTTATAATCCTAAAAATATATAGTTAAATAGGACACAGAAAACTCTGAATTTCAAATATAAATTAAAGATGGAAAACCCAAAGAAATAATGAATAAAGTCTGCTGCTTCTCACTTCCAATTGTCTTTTTTACGACTGCAACTTCTATTTGTTAATTGGCTAGCAGATCAAGAGTTTTGCAGCATCTATAACAACCAAATGTTTAAATTGAAGACTCGTATAAATAGACATCTTTATGCAGTCACAGGTCATGTAAACAACATCACGTGACAACCACGATTTCTGTGACTATCATGCATTTGCATTTGTTGTGTGGATAGTCTAGTCCTAACTCTAGCCTGAATCTGGTACTGTGCCTGTGCAGTAACTGACTTGCTAAACTATCAGCTAAGACAAAGAATTTATCCTGAATGCTGATGAGCAACAGTGTACAGCCTCTGAACACACGTTAGCATAAATCTCCTGCTGGTCTTGTACTGTTTTTAGCAACAACAACTACACAGCTGCAGTTGGTCAATAACAGACAGGCTTATTTTTATGACTCTTCTCTAATTCCAATAGGATTGCGGCATCTTATAACTTATTTATTTAAATCTTTGCGCTCTGAGCTAAAAAAAAAAAAAAAAAAGTAATGTCCTTTGCCAAAGTAAATTGAGCAGGAGTGATGCAAATAAGAAGACACAAAGAAGTTTTTGCAAAGAGCGGGGGAAGGCCCTGCAGGTGGAGGCAGAGGGCTCCTTGCAGGTTCACTTCTAATAAATAAGAGCTGTGCAAGCTGCTACTTGCAAATCACTTCTTTACAAACAATTTAATCTTTTGCTTGATCTTTTACACTGATGAAATTCTGAATTTCTTTAACAGCAATGACTGTAATTTCTTCACTGTAACCAGCCAAAATCAGCTCATGCCACTACACTATTCAATCATCTCCACTAGTTAGTTCAAGTCACATAATGCCCACCTACAGAGTGGCCACTAGCATGGCAGTGACACCCACCTACCTGAATTCCCTCATTCGGTTTTATGAGCATTCTTGTTCACTATATTCACTAGAAACGACGACAAGCGCTACCATCCCTGTGAGGCAGAAAATCTAAATCCAAACTCCTTTTCTGTCTTCAAAAATCTGCCTACCTCTTCCCTGATAGTACTTACCTAATCCTTTCCTTTCTCTCTCTCGACACCCCTCCCCAAAAATCATATGTTAATTGTACATTATTATAATATTTTGAAATAATTCAATTGTATTAACATTCTATTCTATCTTTACTGCAACATTCCCTCAGAGCATTTTACATCAAATGTGTTTTGTGCTGCACTTGTAGATGTTGCATATAAATTGTCTTTACCACCAAGCGCAACCCGCCTCTTTAATGTCAGGAGAAACCTGGTTTTAAAGAAGCCGATTGCTTCCATTTTCATTACGCTGGTTATCTGGAAATATTGAGCTATTTTCTCAAGTTTTCTTTCCACATTCTATTTCACATAAATCCTGTTCTGAGATTTAAAGTAAAAAAATAAAGCATGTATCACTGAACGGATAAAGCTCAATACAGAATGGAAAAAAAACAAAAAACTCAATACTTGTCAAGGTCAACTCCAGTAACAAGAAAAAAGGGGATGCTGATAGAAATTTTTGCAAAGCAGAGCTCTTCAATTTCACACTAACTGCGGGGCTGTAAGGTAGCTGCTCATGCAACTGAAAAAAGTGGAGACTGAGGTTCAGTGAAAAGTCTGTTTCAGACATCTTGCAGCTTGAAAAGCTCTTTCCTTCCCCACGCTGTGGAACACAGTTTGAAAAATTCTCCTATGTCATCTGTGGAATTTCTTGCCAAGGTCTGCCTTGCAAAACAAGGATAACCTTTACAAATCAAGTTTTAATCAGAGAGGGGGAAATATATTTGTTATATACAAATTAATTAATTACATAGCTGCTGTAAATGTTGTAAATTCAACAGCTGCCCTGTAGGCAGGTAGGTGAACCTGCTGTGTTCACTTCATGTATTTTAGAAAAGTAAGGTAGAGTGGGAGGGGTGTATTCAACCTTTAACCTGAGTTCTTTTCTATTCTATGCTTAAAAGGTCATGTTATTGTGAAGGTTTTACAGTGCAGCAGGCTTCTTCCTGGGCTCCACATGGTCTGCAAAGATGCCCAGTGAGCCATTCAAGGCTCTGGATAAATAATTTAACATTTAAGGCCAAGTACGATTGAATATAGGGCTACTTTTCTAGCTACATAAAGCCCAGCCCCTGAAAATAGAAAAAACACACCGAGTCTTCACTATCGGGGTGGAAGTGTTGACAGCATTTGTCCAGCTAAAACGGATTTATAAGCCGTCACTTCATTAAAATGACCATGAAACACAATATCAGAGGTGTACATGAAAAGACATGTTTGCCGGTATTACACTTACACTGTACAGTAAGATTCTGAGGTGTACATACCCAGAGGTAGTAGGTGAATTGCAGGGCAAAGATGGCGATGCCCTCATTGTCAAAAGAGCCTGCGACAGAGCGGGAGATATAGCCAGGGACAATGGCAATGAAGCAGGCTGCCAGCAGCCCTGCACCTTGGTTCCACAGCTCCCGTGTCAACAGGAAGGTGGAGATGGCGGTCAGACCGCTGAACACCGGTGCAAGAAAGACACACACGTCACGGATGTGGACTGTAATGTGGAGCAGGTTGAGCACGTAGTGGATGAGGCCGGCAGTCACCATTAACCCTGGGTATACCTGAGTGAGGGGGCAGAGAAAGAGAAGTTGTGAGAACAAAGAAAGCCCTGAAGGTTAGGAGGGATGAGTATAACAATTGACAGAAAAATTATTTTTAAAAAGTAACCATTTTGATAATCAATTAATCTTTGAAGTAATTTGTTTACCAAACATTTGATGGTTCTAGTTTCTTAAAATGAATGAATGAATGAATGAATGAATGAATGAATGTGCTGAGTGAATTTTATCTTTTAAAGGTTTGGTTCTTTCAAAACTGAAAGAATGTGAAATGTGAATTCTTTGAACAGCTTGTTCTGTCTGACTAATTCTCCAACACAAAGATATTCAATTTGCAATTATGGAAAATAGCAAATCCTTACAGAATCTGGAAGCTGAAAATGTTTGAAATGTTTTGCTTAATGAATTACTTAAATAATTAGTGCATTGTCAATAAATGTTGCCACGTATATGGCTCTTCAACAGAAAGTTATGATGAAACCTCCACTCAGTGGAAGCTGGCGCATGAGTATGCAAGGCCTCATTGCCCTGTCTCGTCTATACATGAGAGCAGATCCAATTAGGGCCCCATGCAGTAAGCTGGCTACCTGAAGTTAAAAAAAAAAAAAAAAAAAAAAGCATGGCTGTGTTTAACGTGTGAGTGATGTCCCTGATGTGTGTTCACTGTAGCCGCAGTCCATGCGCTTTGCCTTGCTACTAATAAACTCAGGTCTACACATCTCTAATTAGCTGGTGCCTAGGAGACCTAAACATCATCAACCAATCTATTTCAATGAATATCAACCATGTCTTGCCTCTCGGCTCTGAGGATTGGATGTCTAGCGGAGCAGTATCGTGCCATTTACAAAACTACTCTTGTAATTATTAGCCATTTTTAACTCTGTGGTAGGGCCCAGGTCCTCAAAACATTACAGAGATGATTGAGATTCTTCATTATAGTAGTATTTTAGAGTTTTATCTTGATGAATAAAAATCTCTGTGCATCATTTATTAACACTTCACTCGCAATCAGCATTCAAGAATGCATTACATAGCATGTTCATTATGGAAATATCATCAACTACAACTGACAAAAGTAGTTACCAAAAATGCACTTGAGTCTTGTCCTTATGGCAACAAAGAGTGGTTTATTGGCTTGACAGCCCACTGTTGTTATGGACTGTCACATTAGAGAATCTTTCCTTATCTGTGGCTCAGGAGAAAGAGCAACTGACAATCGTCCTCTGGGGAATGGAGGGAGGGTGGGAGTGAAAGGGGAAATAAAGAAGGGAGAGGGCAGCTGGACGGGTCTAGGCAGAAAGGCACTAAAGTGTCACATTAACTGATATCGGCTCGTCTGTCTTCCCAACGGTGTGACCCATCTGAGTGCTTAGAGACTTAACGCTATCATACACAATTAATGAGGACTGTCAGGATCATCTGTCTGATTTTGAATAAAAAGGGGGGGAGGCAGTAAGGCTGAGGATAAGGATGAGAGAAAAGAATGGAGCCAAAGTCAACTAAGATATTAGAGAAAGGCAGAAGCAGACAGCAGAGGAGAGATTATGAAAGATAAAGAAGTTAGAGAGAAAGAGGAAGAAAAGTGAACTATAGTGGATGAAATAAGAGAAAGGGTGTGTTAAACACAGGCGGGTAAAAGGTTGACTCCAACAGACAAGAGTCTCGGTCACTGCTGCCTGATAGAGCAAAGGTGGTTTTATGAATTCAGCCTGGAGCTAGAAGGGTCACGGACCACCACCCTGCATGAGAAAGGAGACTGACATTGTTAAAATGTCAGAACAACAGGTTTTGTAAAACAACAAGGGGGAATGCAACTTTGCAATTCTAAACTATTTAAGTTTTCTAAACAAAGGCCATTGATGGTCACTACATTGTGGGCTATGAAACAGACTGTGCCAATTTGAGATGAACCCAGCACTTGTCCACACCCCTGCATGTTTTAAAAGCATAGGCTTGATGCAAATAAGAGCTCTCACACATTCATTTTATGATTTCGAATGCAGTGTGGGAGTAAACTAAATACCCTTCTTCGCTGAAGCCTGTCTATGTTCAGAAATCATGCAAACAAGTGGGATTTTGACAATTAGCCTACACAGAAAATGAGTGAGTGGCTTTGTGTTACTCCAGCAATTACCATCATGGTGCCCTTGAGCAAGGCTGCAGATTATTCTGGCAGCCAATCCCACCTCAGCCTTTCAAATAAAAAGATACAGCAGGTAAAAGTCTCCATTACTGAGCCAGCTGCTTGAACCTCTGCAGTAGCTGTCACATCTTCTCTATGCATCAATTCCTAGATCTTGCTCCATTTTGCATAGATTTGCATGTCAAATGGAGACATTTGCATTTAGTATGGCCAACAGCATGACCCACCCACCTGCTATCAAAATACCTGTGAACCTTTACGGCAGACTGTGGTTTACCATCTGGCAGTAAACTTCTTCCCAGTTAAATACGGTTGTTAGCAGACCTAGCCTGTTAAAGAACAAGGCTGGCAAAATTCTATACATCTTATTGTTAATATATCCCATGAAAAGACCAAACCCAATAATGCTTTCTGTGGCTCCCAGCCCATTGGTTCCTACTGAATGTGTAAATCTTATAAATAAAAATCCTCTATAATTTCCGGAGACAGCTGGGTACTTCAGTGAACGTTACTCAAAAAGAGTAAATAATGCATTTGCAAGGGAATACTTTCAGCTGTGGATTAATACACAGTCGATGAGCTAGTGATTATGACAGCAAAAGTGGCTGGTGAGTAGACCTGGGTGGCATCTATTTTATGACATTTTACCAGGGCATACAGAATTTGCCGATATTTGTGTAAAACTAAAAAAAAAATTTATCCTGGAAACTCCAACTATTGAGAGCAAGGCAAATAAAACAAGGTTGTTTTTTTTAAAAGGCATGGCAAGACTTCGATACATTATTATGAAGTGCCACAAGAGCCACTCTACTCATGGCGCTAACAGAGTCTTTGCCATTTCAGATAGATATTCCTTTATTTGTCCCACACGGGGAAATTCAATGTAACACCACAAAGTGGATAGAGAGAAAAACAGTATAAATAAAAGTAAGAGTAGGAAATAATAAAAACACTATGTACAAAAAAAAGTAGAATAACAAAATAACAAAATAACAAAATAGTAGGCATTGATGGGCAATATTGCAAGTAATTATCAAATTATTATTATTAAGCGAGGTGGGGGGTTTACTGGGAGCAGTCTGTTAATGCCAGTTCATTTTGGTCTTGGGGGAAAAAAAGACATAAAATATCATTTAACTTTCCCTCTGATGTCACACCGTGCTGCATGTATCTTTCCCAGGTCAAATTACTTAAATTAGGTTAGCAACGTGACATGTAAAGAAACCCACTGGTTCCAAAACATTGTACATTAGCTGATTCTAATATGAACAGGATTATGCATCGTGCCTTGTCGTTTTTGAAATGACAAAACAGCAACAACTTCTCTCAGTGGAACTGGTGTGGAAACAATCATCTGCCGACACTGTTCAAGATCATATCACATGACGCAAGGACAATATAACCACCATAATTGCTTGGTAATTGCGAAGAGACAATGCAAGACATATCCTGGCCACTCATCCTCTTTGCTCAGTCTTATCTGAGTGGACCATAAACTTGAATCTTAATCTGAGATAAATGTAAGACGTTACTTACAAAAGCCAAGCTCTGAGTGACACAGCAGAAAATGTTGCATGTCCTCTTTCTCCACATTTCTCTAGCTTGAGGATAGTCTGCCGAGCAAATCTAAATATTTAAGTAATGTTCAACTGGAAAATTAAATTACTTTCATGTAAAGCTTAATTTGAGAGGAAAGCACAACTCGCTCTAATCTTCCTCACATTAACCACGTGTGAGTGACTCTGTAGTTATTTGTTGTTTTTTTACGCATACATTCATGAAATGTCAATACAAGTGTACAGGGGAAAGATGTGAGCTGTGTTTGCTTTGTATGCCTATTTGTATCCAGAAGACAATGCGCTGTGCAGCCTAGGGATCTTGTAAATGTCATGAAAATTAACTTTAAACTATACGCCTTCCAATTGAGATTACCAGTCCAATCACGAGTTTCAGCTTCTACTCTATGGCTACAAGGCCTAACTCAAGTATCCATGTACTGTAACATAACCAGCACATCCATTATTACAAGCTAGGCCTGTCATATGCAATTACCAATTGCTGATGGTAATTGCCTATGACAGATGAATGCTGATGGATGAGTTTTGGATTCCAATTCCTTGTGCCTCTTGTGCCGGAGTGAATACTATATTCAAACATCGGCATGTAGCATGGCTACAGCTCCTGCCCTGCACCATCTGCTTGGTGCTGTAATGATAACAGCATCTGATTGCAATGCACAACATTAACATGCCTCGCTGTCTCGACTGTGCAGAGGAACTCTCCAAACAGCCAGCACGACTGAGTTTACACTACACAGAGACAGGAAGAAAGAGAGAGAAGGAAAAAGACAGTCATACTAGAGGCACCAAGGGCCAGGATCTTCCCCTGTCTCTCAGCTGGCCTTAATAATGGAAACATGTCGGGATACTTTTCCACATTTATTTGGCACAGAGGACCTGGATTATGTAGTCCTAATGCATCATTAGCTAGTGCAATTACAGCTTAGAGTGCGAACCTGGTGGGTCCGTGAAGCTTGGGTTGTTAAAGGGTCGAGGGAGATGGATAGGCCAAGGGTATTTTACTCACACAGGCTTCACATCTCACAGGATGCAGGGCTGAGAAGATGAGGTTGGGAGAAGAGATGCACAGAGGAGGGGAGGTGGGGGAAATGGGAGATAAATTGCGTTGAATCGGCACGTTGTATTTTTCACAGAAAAGGGTTAATGTTTCACAACAATCGTTGCTGCTGGTAAACAGGGAAGCCATGGCAGCAGAGGGGAATCTGTCAAGTTAACAGCTCACTGTTGCAACTGGATTGTGACTTAAATCCATGCTGCCTGGCAAAGGCTTATAGGGCTCTATGGTATTACCACACTGCCAAGCCTAACCCCAGACAACCCCCATACTATCCCAACTCCCACACACACACACTACAAACTCACCACTGAGGACACCCATAACAACAGACTGAAGATCTACTTCCCATTTTGGCTTGCATTAACCACTGATGAGGACATAAATACTGACTGCATAACAATGTCTATAACTAATCCCAATGTGCTTGTGAATATTTACAGCAAGTATAGAAATCCATGCTGATTTTCTGGTCAGACATGGACAAATTTATTGTTGGTTGCTTTTGTGTGGTATGGCAGCTGTAGGTACCTTTATATGATAAGTATGCTTTAAAGTATAATTAGATGCCTGACTGTACTCACTGATGGGCAAACTGCAGCCAGTTTTGTGCTACGGTAGCTCTGATTATCCCTTAAAATAGAAGGGATTGAGACTGCAGATTTCCCCTACAAATTCCTGCCATGACGGATCAAAAACTTCTTCCATCCATGCATCCTTTTTGCCACTTAACTAGGTCAGAGTCACAATGGCAGCACACTAAGCAAGATAGCCCACACTTCCCTTTTCTCCAGCTCGCACCTCATGGGGGATCCCAAAGTATTCCCAGGACAGGTGGGATGTGTAATCCCTCCAGCATCTTCTAGGTCGGCCTGGTCTGCCTATTTTCCTTTGTGGAAAAGCCTGGGCTATCTCCATAGGGAAGTGTGTAGAAGAATTTTTAAATCAGATTCCTAAACCCCTTCAACTGGATTTTAAAAGACAAAAGAGCTGTGGTTCTATGCAAAGATGCTTCTGTATGTCTGAGCTCCTCACTTTATCCCAAAGGGTAAGCCCAGAAACCCTTGGTAGTGAAACTCATTAAAGTAGCTTGAATCTGTGATCTCATTCTTTCAGTCACTACCCAGGGCTCATGACTACAGGTGAGAGATCAACTACTAAATCCAGAGCTTTGCCTCCAGGCTTAGCTCCCTCCATAGTGAAGTACAACACCCACATCACTGGCAATGCTGTACCAATTTGCCTGTCGATCTGAGGCTTTATCTTACCCTCACTCATGAACAAGATCCCAAGTTACTTCTACTCCATCACCTGAGCCAGCAACTTTCTCCCAAGCTAAAGAAGGCAATCTAGCGGAGTAGCGTGGCCTCAGACTTGGAGTTGCTGACTCTCATCCGCAGCGCTTTATAGTCTGGCTCAAAGCAAGCTAGTTCACCAGAGGTCACAAGTTTGATTAAGCCAACACCGCCATATCATCAGCAAAATGTAGTGGTGCAATCCTGAGATAATCAAAACAGGAAACTCTCTACACCTCAGCTGTGCCTTTAGATTCTACAATTAAAACCATCAAGGGAAATACTTAATGTCTTCTGAAAATATCTTCGACTTATTATCATGGATGCATACACCGGTCTCATTCTGGCAAACAAGTACGGTACCAGTGGCCCTAGCATATCGTATTCCATAAGTGCTTCCCTACAAGACACCCTGCAGGACGAAACACACAAATCAATGGACAAACTCCATGACCCCTCCAGTAATCTTCCAAGATTAAAGAGGTTTCACGACGAGGACGGAAGCTGCACTGCTCCACCTCATTTTGAGTTTCATCAGTCGGCTGGAGTGTCCTTTCCAGTACACCCTCTCCCTCCTCTGCAATCTCTCTCTCTCTCTCTGAGTGTAGAATTATGGACTCCCCAGGTGATGCCTCCTTTAGGCCTGCACCAGGAGACTACAAAATGGCCAGAGTAATGAAATGCACATTTGCCTGCAAGCTCAAGAAATTTTAAAGGGCATCTCATTTATAATTTATTTTATTTCACTTCACAAGAACGTTGTTTTCAACTAAATGTGTATTCCTCTAAAGATACAAACTGATGAACAATGAAATGAATGAGCAAAAGTGTAAATCATGCAGCTTGACTACATCAATTTGAGGAGAAACTTACTGTGCCACCAACGATCCTGCCCAGGGGATACCAGGCCCTTTCATCAAACCAGTTGAGGAACTCGAAGAAGCCATTTGTGGTGAGGTGGTGCGTTGATCTGTAGTTGAACCTGAAGCAACAGAATAAAAAGAGAAGAGGGCAGGCTGAGTATAAGGCAAAGTAACAACCACACAGAGAAGGAACATCTATTTCCATTTATAGACCATATTTTGCCAAAATGTTACAGCTGTTGACAGACCAAAAAACACTCAACTCTGGGAAAGAACAGGTTATTTTATTTCCAGATTTTCTGAAGGCGGGCTGAATGGGCAGGCTGCAGAGACTTCGCCTTGTTAGAATAGGAAAGATAAAGCCTCCATTCACTATGTGAGCTTTTGTGCTGATGCCAACAACTCTCAGGTCAGCCCTCGGTTAAAAAAAAATGGAGAGATGAAGGGCCCTAACACATACTGTGGCATCTTTCAGAACAAAGCTTGCTTATTGTACAAATACTTCCAACTGCAACCACTGGCATGTGCTGGGGTGACAAAGGCATAAATGGGTCTGGTGTCTGAACAGAGAATAGCTACCAAAAAAAGAAAAACAATATTACCCTGAGAATAAATATAAGGAATATCACTGCAAACAGGCCTTGATTCACACTGTAGCTGTGGTAAGCGGAGGGGGGTTGGAACACTGTCAAGCAGCAAAACGATAGAGCGGACACTGTTGAGAAGACTGCTGCCAAAGAGAACGAAGCAGTGCATTTTCAGAGGCACTCTCTTCACTGCACAGCTCATTAATGTGGGCTGCTTTATGGTATGTTCAGACGCCCATATACCTCATGTAAGACACTTCATGCATAGAGAACCTATAGCAAGGCAGAGCAGTTTGCAAAAGGACAATTACCTGTTCTGGCTGTCTCTAATGGAGATGTATACTACAGAGAACAAGAGATGGCATCATCCGTGTGACTTATCGGTTCTTTTACACACTAGAGCGGTTCTTTGATTCAAACTATATCAAGTATAACAATATCGACAACCAACAGACATGGTTAGGTTGCTGTAAGCCTTAAATGCTGCAAAACAATGCAAAGCCATGTTTGGGTGTTATTGAGTTCTAACAACCATCATCTTTATTCCAAATGCTTTCCTCAAGACCATACACGCAAACGTGGCTGTTGTTGTGCCGGCGGAGGAGCCTCAAAATGCTAACACTGCAAATTTGTAAATATCAAATATTTAGATATTTTTATCTGCATAGAAATTGGGGATCTGCATCACAATAAAGGTGAAAAACAATAAAATAAACATGCAAGTGACAGTTTTTATATTCATGCACATGTAATAGCTCAAAATAGTCTTTTAAATTAAAAAAGTAATAATCAATTATTCCGTGGAAGTCTAGAAGTCTATGAGACATACTACTACCCAACAGACATAAAATCCCAGTGATGTTGTGGTAATGAAGGCTGTTGTTAATTGTGGACTGGAAAGAAATGCCTCAGTAACACAGGCCTGTCAGCACCTCCAAACAAAATCAACAGCATTTCCTCACTTCCAACTACTCCACAGCTTGAGATTCAACCGTGTGTGTGTGTGTGTGTGGTGTATGTGTGGTGTGTGTGTGAATGCAAGAGAGATGGGGAGAGGCAGCAGCAGAGTTGTCACAAAGCTGCTGGAGTGTGTGCCGCTTACACTCATGATCAGGAAAGTGTGTTTAAAATTGCTGGCATGAGGTGCAGCTCATTAATCATCACAAGGTGCCTGAGTTTTCTACCACCTCCACGACACACACAACCTGAAAGCCTAAGCTCTCCTCCAACACGCAGAGCCTCCTGCCTTGGCTCATGTTTCCGGAGAGCACATGGTGGAGAGCACATGGTGGACAGACATTAGTCATTTCAAACCCAATGCTGAGAACGGGTCTCTTGTGTGCATTTTGAGCACTATGTTTCATTTATAACAAAATCCAATTTTCCAATATTTTTTTTTTTTATCCCCACTTCTGTCAGTTTAAAGAATATTTCTAGGTAAATGGAACAACTTCACAGACCCAAATTTGTTTGCGACCTGTGATACATGTTGTATTGGTGCTTTATATGCAGATATAAAGATAGCTTTCACTGAAAAGCAACACATTTTAATGATATTTTTAGGATATTTTGACATTTTATTGATAATCCAGGAATGGAAAGCAATTTTCAAACCGAGTGACTTTTCCAATTCCTTGTGAACTCAGTACATTTACGAGTACGCCAAAACAAAGTGATCGGATATTAGATGTGCACTATTCTCTATGCCTTGGATGAAAAAATGGAGAAAAAAACCCATAAAAAATATATAACAGTTATTGTGCCTCTTAAAGTGATCTTGAAAATCTATTGAGGAGCTGACATGAGTGTTTATACTCATAGCTCAACAACCAGAGGCCTGAGGGCCTGAATCTGGGCAAACTACAGACTAGGACAAACAAACCATCCAGCTGGAATGCAAGACTCATGCAGAAAGGAATCTTTATTTTTGTCAGATAAAATTCAACAAATTCACCTTGTTAATCACAACTTAGTACTTCCATCCTCCATAGCTCATACTGCATGCAATTTTCAGTGGTCTAGACCAGTGTTTTTCAAAAGGGTGTAAATGTGTTTAATGTAAATTAAAGATATACAAAAAAATATATTATAAAACTATATTCAGTATTGTTTTTGGTTTTGTATATTTTTTATATTTTGCGGTAGTACTGTCAATGGTTTTGTAAAAACATCTCGCAATAGGGGAGGACCAGCCATAAGCTCATGCTATTTTGGGGGCCTTGGCATGGAAAAGTTTGGGAAACCCTGGTCTATACTAACAATACTTTCCATATTCCATTTTGTGAGTACGTTTCCTTACATAGTGAGGTGTGCAAAGAACCACAATGTTACAAAGTGCAAAGCTACAGAGGCAGCCAGGTGTGAGAGGTTCTACCACAGTGGGACTTTGAATGCAGGTGGAACTGGCAAGCTACTTCTGCCTCATTGTTTTGCAGCTGTCAAATCAGCGAGGCAGAAACAAAGCAAATTCAAAGAAAGCATTCTAAAAGACAACTTTGCACGCTGCCATATCCACAAAACCCATTTTCCAATGATCTCATGGACAGCCGAGCGGAGTGCTTTATCCCTGCCCTTGTCACTTTGATGGGGCGGATAATGTAGCTCTGCCAGGCACATTAGCAATTTAATGCATAGCTGCCAATATGGTCTCAGGCCACAGAGCACATGACGACTAGTGCCGCTGCAGCACCTCAAACTACCAGCCAGTGAGCTTAAAGCTGAGCAACATCATAAAAAGCAGCACTCCTGGATTGATAGCTAGGAGGACGATGGAATATGGGCCCATATATCAACTCAGATAATATCTCAAAGCAAAAATTAATATTAGGAGTGGCATATTGTGCACTTTAGATCACTGGGGGTGCCCTGCAGGCATCATAATTCATTTTAATCAAGGTCCGTTTCACTGATTATCAGTTTCCTGTTGAGACAGGGCCATCATCATCAGCATGACTAAGTGGGCAGCATTGCTGTTTACAAGCCAGTAATGCCTCATTCAGTTTCGACTTCATAATCAGATGCATCATTGCCTTTTCCCCACTGGTTCGCGATATGGTGAATGTCTAAATAGACTTTTGGTTCCAGGGGTTTAATCACCACCTTAACTAATTAGCCACCTCTGTCAAACTCTGAATGAATAACCCATAAATGGGAGCATGCCTGGGGACCCAGAAGGCAAGTAAGCACTTGCAATATAAACTTCACACCATAAGACATCCGTCAGATAGGCAGGTTTGAGCATCAGCAAGGTGGTTTGTTTTTTCCAGAAGGCACCTCTTTCGAAAGTCTATAATGGAAGCAGACCTTATGAAACCCCATCAAAGGGTCAGCCATGACAGAAGGTTCCTCAGTATATGAAGGGAGATAAAATGTATATTTAATCTTGCAAGTTTAAATAAATTCAAAAGTAAGACAAAGACAGTGGGAAACCAAGCGAGAGAAACCAAACTACAATTGAGCTTTATTTGCCAATTATTTAATGTTACTGAACTACGGTTGCTGTGTCTATTGCAGGAGAGTAGAGGGCTGATTAGGCTTCCAGACAAGCCCTTTTCTGACTGTTTTATAAGCACTTGTATGGGATTACAACTATGTGCAGCCTACACAATTTGCCTTTTAATAGCTGCCAAATAGGATTTTCTGGTTGGATTACCTGAGAATTGCAAGATAGTTAGGTTGCAGTCACACTGCACACTTTACTATCCTGCCCCAAAACTAATACCTCCATGCTGGTGGACAGGGTCACACTAACTGGCTCATTGGACAGCTGCCAAAGCTTTAATAGTGCTGAGTGTCCAGCATGCCTGCCATCACCTGACAAGATGAGGCATCCTGGCATATCATCCAATGGCTCTATCACTTCATTTGAAAGGTGTGTGTGTGTGTGTGTGTGTGTGTGTGTGTGTGTGTGTGTGTGTGTGTGTCCCTGCTTGCTCAATGACCCAGTAAGGTAATTGCATTCTGTGGATGTGTGATGGCAGCAATATTGTTCACATGCGACAAGACATGACTTGGAAAAATCTGAAATTAAACATTGGCTGTAATTACTAGCCTGCCAGAATATGCAGTAGGTTCAACGAGGCACTGTCTCAGTTGATGCGGGGTAGTTAATAGAAGCCGCAGCAGCAAAAACACATGAACAGTATCGTTAGGAAATAAAAACAGAAATATGCAGCTAATTATTTTACCAGGTCAACCATTTCCAAAAAACCCAAACAGGCAAAAAAATATAATTATCCTAATTTCAATGTGTGAACATTTGCTGACACTGCAGTGAGCATTCTTCTAATTGAATCTTGAGTGCAGAGCTCATCTTTTGAGATAAAGATGTCCAGGAAGAACCATTTAATCCTATTTCCAATGCTACTGGAAATTAGGCACTATATTAAAACTCCACCCAAAAAGATGTTTTAATATTAAAAGCCCATCCTGCATACTTGAGGTGAAGTTTCAGCCTCCCCTGAAGAGAATAAGACTGGCTCACAGCTCTGAAGCCTACTGGGGTTTCTATCCTTCTAGCTGGTCACACTGCT